CTGTCAAAATGCTTTTTGGAGTTCTCAATAGTAGTGTAGAAATGACATATGGCCACTGGAATATGTCTTTTTGTGAGAAACACACATATTCCAGTCACCAAGTGTTGGTAGGGGCATATGTGGGATAGAATTGTTGCAAGAAAAGTATTTTTTGTCCATAAGCATTATGAACAAAAAATACTTGTCTTGCAACAATCCATCTAGCCCACATATGCCCCTACCAACACCTGGTCATTCAGACTGTGATGCGGCCATATATGTCATTTCAGCAACATTATAATATAATTGTGGGTCAGAGGTCAATTTTTTGAATAAATGAAATTGATGATAAAATTTCATAGGACTAAGAAAACTAAGAATATCATCTAAGAATAAAATTATTTTTTTTGACAACACCTCTGATTTTAAAATGCCACAGGCTGGTGGGGGGGTATTAAAGTATTAGTGATTGATTTTCATGTACTGCAATTTTGGTGATGTAATCTGATGGTTGTTAGTTGAATTTTTCTTCAAATCATCTTTATTTTTGTTATTCTAAGGAGGATCCCAACTGGGAAGGTTGTTGAGGTTGAGGTAGAAGGCTGTGAAAAAGGGAGGTTCAGTGGTGACTGGTATTTGGTGTAGGGGACCAAAATATTTTCTCTCAGAACAGCTCAGACCCGTTCCTTTGACTTGTCCAAATTCTCATACTCACCTTCCTTCAAACCTCAGCTTATCAATCTCTGACTCCATCTTGTTCAACCCCAAATGGCACCCAAACAATCACGACCAAGAAATCTGTATCAATTCCACTATGGATCTCAGCTTTTTTCGACCGAGACCTGCTCAGAAAGACAACTTCGGCTAGCATTTCAGACGAGAACCCGAGCAGAAACAGAGCGGAGCATAAGAAGAAATCAAAATCCTCGTAACGGAGACAACAGGGCGCAAGATAGACCTCCAGCTGATAGCCATCCCAAAACCGGAACAGATCTGCCTGACCAGTTGGGGTTCGACGAAGGACCGTCCCTCTGGGAAGATACGGAAGAAATCATGAACGAAGAAGACGAGGCCTCGCGCGCTCGTCTGAGGTCACTTCACCAAGAGATGATTCAACAGCAGAGGCATCGAAATTGGAACAATATCATGGCTTGGTTGTTCCCGTCCTATCTTCACTTCAAGAAGCTCACTTCGGACTGGACGCTTCCGGCTTGGAATGATAATCTTTCAGCTGAGGTATGCAAGTGTCCGGCTCAAAGCTACAAGCAAAGGGAGGTTGATTTGATTGATTTAATGGGAAAGTTTTTTCTTGACTCACTCATCCACAGCTTAATAGTTATTGACATTCAAGTATTCTGCTTTTCAGGCCAACGTCGAGTGAAGTTTGCCTTCTGCGCGTGTACCCCAGATCCCGTCCATCTACTTGCAAGCGGCTATCTTGCAAGCACACCTGTTTTCCCGCAGACTGCCTTCTCTGTGCGATTACTCAACTTCTACGACATCCTGTGGAATATCTGCAATGCCCACACTACCCCGTTTGCAAAAGTCTTACAACGATGGAACGAATCCAGGTCAATTCGCCTGCATGCCAAGAACTCAACCAAGGTAAGGAACGTTTGTTTTTTCCTCATCTTGTTACCTGTCATCTTACAGCATATTTTTGTAGGCTCGGGAGCTGCGCCGAAATCTAGTTGCCGCAATTGATGCCTACAGAACTTTGAAAGACATGCAGCAGAAGCTGGTCCAAAATATGACATCGATCAACCGGCAGGAGGTACTCGCTCAACAATCCTGCCCCGCCTGCTTTGGTGTTGCTCTTCAAGACCCCAATCCAGCGGAGCCGCCTCCTGCAGACTCTGCCGATAACCACAAGGTCTTCATATGCCTTGATGGCAACTTTCAACACCGTCACCACGAGCGAGCATCAAAAAACTACATAGGAATCCAAAATCAATCCCTGTTCGTTCGGCCGGAAGAAATTGATGTATCAAATCAGGAGATACGTGAAGGGGAACTTGCCAAGAGGGTGTCTAAAAAAGCAGTAAGGCAGACATACAAACAGCTTATATCAACTACAACCGCTGACATTAATTATTATCTTCATAAACCCCAGAAAGACCGCTGCACAGAACAACATAAAGCTGCCGATGACCGCCGCAACGCGAGCTCTTGGAAAGGTTGTGATGACACTGGCCTTTTTGGCTGCTGCTGTCGCCACGACTCAGTCATCTCATTCTGCAATATCCACAAGTCTGGCGAAGGACGTGGTCTCCCGATGTCAATAATCAAACGATTTTTCAACGCTATCAATCCCAACATTGAGGTCGGGCTACTGTATGATATCGGATGTACCCTCAAGAAGTTTTTTCAAGCTCGAGGGTTGTTAACCGATCACTTGCCCAGAATGAAATTTGCGACAAGGGGCTGAACGCAACCGTCAGTGATGTTTTCTCTCGCAATGTAAGTATCATCGTAGCCTTCTTCTGATGGCCATTATCCTGCAGATGATCAAGAAAAGAGGCTCGGGCTCCTTTGGAGTGCCAAAAGTGTTCTTCACAAATATGCTGTGCAGATTCAAGGGGAGCTGCAACCGCTGCGCGATACAAAGTCTCGCGGGGAACGACTCGGCACTATTTTGAAAGAGAAAATATTTGAAGCGCTTGGACGCCATAAGAAGACGGTTGCAAAGGTTCTCAAGACATTTTGTGATCGTCGGACCGATTACCTCAAAAAACATGCCCCTGACCAGCTGGGTCTACCCGAAAACCAACCAATCACATATGATGAATTCACCAAGCTCCGTTTAGACGACCCGTTTTGGAACGACACCTATTTGTGCTTGTCTAAAGAACCGTGGGCTGTGAATCCGTTGGTGCGAACTGGGATACACGCCGTATTGCGATTAGATCGTGCTAAGGAGGAATTGATCCAGCTGAAAAATGAGCTGCGAAGGTGTGTGTCATGGGGGATTCACTATCGCAAGCAGCTCAAACATCGAATTGATCAATGTGTATTTGGTGGGTCTTTTTTTACTTCTTTGATGCAAGTTTTTACGAGCTAAGTATTTTACTTTTTCAATCAGATACTGCCGACAGACAACTCACAACTGTACTACAAGATGCCTTTGGGGCGGTTTCATACGAAATTAAAAAAATCGCCAGCAACGAACTGGAATTGGTTCAGAAGGAGCACGAGAAACTTTTACTAAACTGGCAGCCAGTAATTGAAGAGATTCTGGCTATAGGAGTTGTGTCTTGCAGCTACTTGCCGGCCGAGTGGTATGCTTTGGTCGTATTTTTGAAACAGGAGGAAGTGGACACCCAGTTGATAGGATGCGATGTTGATATCCTCTTGGAAGAGACGTTGCTCGATGGTCAAGACTCAGACGGAGAGTCCCAGAAAGACGACGATCTTGTGGCAGGCACAAGTGGTGCGGAACACATCCCACCAGAAGATGACGATATCCCTGGCAAACCTAGTGATTCCCAACGACCGAACAGTGGTGATCGTGGCAGTGCTCCTTGAGTCTGCCTTAAGCTATTCCTTTTCATTTTTTTTTTGCCTCATTTATTTTCGGAATTATGTTGCGATTTTTTATCTTTGATTCATCTATGCTTTTTTCTTCATTGTTGTTGCGGTATTATTTACAAAATAAATCAAGACATGTATCTTGCCAAAAAGAAGAGAGAAAAAAAGACATGGAAAAAAATTAACTGAAACAAAATAATTAAGAGCACTACTTGGATACATTGACCAATGTGACCTTGAGTGATGTCATCAAGCAAAAAAAATGAGTGATGTTGGTCAAGTAAAACAAAATCAACAAAAGCGCTACTTACCGATGTGGCCTTGAGTGATGCTGGTTCGATCTTGGAGTTGTGTGCCCTGAGTAGCTGAGTGATGCTGGGGTGATGTGACCGGTCGTTGATGTTGGAGTTGTGCAGTCGAGGGGCCTTGGGTTTCCTCCCCCAAGTCCGGTTTTGCTCTAGTTAGTGGACTTTGCGATTCTTCTGACGTGTACACCCATTTGGAGTGCGCGGTGTGGAGTCTCTCGAGGACTTGTAATTTTCGAAGGACATGTAAAGTCCCACGGGATTGGCTCGGGATTGGCTGAAATTTGCCGGGTTACTCAGTCGACAAGTGTTGATGGGTGCATTTCCAGGCCCAGTCTTACACTGGGTCAATGTAGCTTAAATAGGTCTTCAAATAGATCCCACAGGTGATTGATTGCATTGATTGCTTCAAGTCCGGCGTCAGCAAAGTTTTTTCCGTGTTCGTGCAATATACTGTGAATCAAAAAGTAGCATAGAGAGTTTCGATCTTCAATGGTTGGATTCTGAACACGATATCGGTGTTTGAGTCGGTACATCAGATCATCCGAGAGAGGTTCTATGAAATCATCCAGTAACTTTTTCGGATTTGCGGGCGGACTATGGAGTAACAACATACAAAACATAAACCGAAGGCCGCTACCGGTCATCCAGTGGGCAGCATCAGCCATGGATTCAGAATAATGTCGGTCACTAACTAATAACCCGAGTTCATCGGCTGCCTCGCGGTAAGTGCCAAAAGTTGTGGCGCCGACAGTGCGAAGGTCTTCAGGGCAAGTTGCACCTCGTCGATGAAGCAACAGCAGTCTGAGGAAGTAACGCTCGCCTTTGTTGATGGTGGCATGATAGAGTCGACCAATCATGTTGGTGGCTCTTTTGCGGCCTTTGAATCGCTTCTTTTTTGTCCACCGGAAATATTTTGGAATTTCGTGGTAGAGTAAAGCTCGCGCTGGGACGCCGTATCCAACAGCGTTCAATCGATTCAGTCTAAAATATTCGGTGAGTGTAGTTCGAGCCGCAGATCCAGATTCCATCTGTCGTTCCAATCCTTCTTGATCAGTGAAGTAAACATTGTGTTCACCTTCAAGGTGTATTGCTAATCGCTGGATGGCAGGCTCCCGTTCATTGGTTGCAAATCGTAGAAGCCTGTACACAGCTAGAGGAGCAGGATGGAACTTGATCAGCAATCAAATAGATTTTGAGAATCTAGAAACTATATGTCCTACCTTCTGAGGGGCCGATGTAACGACCATTGATAAACTTTAGCGTCTCGTCACCTTCCGTCATTCACATTGAAGACCGATCCACCCCTTTACATATATACTTGAAAAGATACTTCATCCCTTGAATGCCATACGGGATTTAGACATTAATATGACAGTTGTAACGTAACAACAGGTACTTGTTGTATGGTACAACATGCCCGTTATGGAACTCTTGGTGATTTTTGGTTACACGTCTTCCGTCGTCCCGACGGCGTTATTTTGGATAGGAGTCCTCAACCAATGTCGTTTCGTTAGAGAAGGGTTTTGGAAAGCCTTTCTTGCAAGCACCGTCTTGCCAGCACATGCTGTTCAGATTGCACGGACCGTGAAGCATAGAAGATGTTACAATGTCATAGAGTCTGGGTTCTTCAACTGGGTCTGGAATTTCGGCTGTGACTAAGCAATCGATGGCATCCGGAGTTGTAGGCACACTTCCTGGCTCTAAGATCACCATGATATGCGCGTGGGGCAGGCCACGTTTTTGAAACTCAATGGTGTATACATAAGCTGCCACAGCACCAAGTCGTTTCTTTTTAACAATGTCGTTGATTAAAGAGGTCAATTTCAATCGAAATACTCGAGTAACTAAGTCAGGTCGGTCTGTAGGATGTTGGTGGGGCAGAAGAGCTGACGTGATTTCCGGCCAGCAAGGGTTGGCGGTCATTGTGATGAACAAAGAAGGCTTGCCAAAGTGTCGCACCAAAGCCATCGAGTCTTGATACAGTTGCATCATGTTTCTGGGTGAGCCTGAGAAAGAAGACGGAAGAACAATCCGTCTTCCTCGGATATTGGTATCGTCCCTGAATGATTCTTCAATACCGCGATAAAGTTCCGCCTTGATTTGAGCTTGATTGAATCGAAAGAAGTTGAGTCTTGATCGCTCGACGCAGAAATACATATCCGTCAACAGTTCTTGGAATAAAGTTTTTCCGTTGAGAATTGCTGAGAATGTATCTTGCCTATCAAAGATCATTGAGGCATACCATTCACGCTGGGAAATGGTGGCCTCTGGATTACGGAATATCAGTAATCAGCAATTCAGAAAAACAATGCAAAAGAGGAAGGAATTGAGCATAGTTCTCACCTCGATCTCCACCACTGGGCCAACCGTGAATCCATCCTTGTTCGCCATAGGGGAAGAAGATTGGATACCGAATTGGCAAGTAACCACTAAAGTCGTCAGTGATGTGTAAGAGGCCTCCTTCAATCGGCCGCAGGACAATATCCCTTGGAGCAATTTGTTCAGGGTCATCGTTATCAATGACCATGCCCACTTCCAATGTCCGAGGGGCATTATAAACGTTTTGATCCAAATCTGGCCGATTGTAGTTTCGCAGGATGAACTGAGATTGTTTGTTGAATTCTTCTTGTCCTATCATTCTAAAAAACCGAGCGTAGGTGTTGTTCCTCGATAAATACTGTTGGATCCTTAGCAGTATTCGAACGTCAACAGGCGATCTGGCTCGTCCAGCACGATATTCGGCTTCGGTCTCGTTGTTACCCCCCACCACATATATTTGAGAGAAAGCAGGCCTAGAATTCCCCTGGGGGAACACACTACCAATATCGTGATGAAGGGCCCCTCTAATCCTGAAAGTGTAGATCCCGGCGTAACCCTGAACGGATCGATCAACCTCGGCACCACACAATGAAAAAGAAAGGGCGTTATTGTAGGCCCAAATCTGCCTTTGATATGACAATGAAGCTGGGGTGGAATTGAAAAAAAAATCCATTAGTCCGCAGGTACTGATACTTCGTACGACTGCTTTCATGAAGAAAAATGGCTTACTTTGATCCATGTCAGTGAGTAGCTTCCGCATAAACCAAGGATATTCAATGTCCTCGTATCGAATAGGCATGTTGACTGTTCCTTTGCCACAGCAGGTTGAGTAGCTAGCAGTTTCTTTGGACATATCGTTGGCTGTACGCTCCAGCTTCCAGTGCATGGCTCCACAGGAAGCGCAAGGATCATTGAGAGAGCCAACACTGAAGGGAAATTCCCCAGGGAATCTGTTGAGTAGGTAGCGTTCGTTGTTATTCTCAGATCGATAAACTGCACCCATCCCAATCGTCTGCAATATATCCCAAGGTCGCCGACGGCGTTGTCGTTGTCGTCGGGGATTAGGGTTGTTTACACGATTTGAATTTGAATTTGAGAGGGTGGATGGTGATCTACGATTTCGCGATGTGATTCTGGATGAAGTTGATGGTGATCTACGATTTTGCGATGTGATTCTGGATGAGGCTGATCTACGATGTTGCAATGTGGTACTGGAAGTGCGTCTTGTTGTTCGGCGTTGGCGAACATCGCCAAATCGTCGCCTTGGAGGTAGGGCCATTAGTCGCCAGGGGACTGGTGACAATCTGCTCGCCGCTTGCAAGAACGAATGACCGGAAAGCTTTTATATTCTGTTATTCACCAAGGGGATCTTTCGAGGCTGTTGACCTGTGTATTGTCAGGCTCAAATACAGATCGTAGCTTGCTGGAACGGATCTGGAAGATCAATGCCGTTGTACCCATGTAGGATCAACTTAACTAAATGGCGCAATGAAAGGTTGATCGTAAGATCTTATGGAATCAGATTGACATTGCAGACATAGACAACAGATCGCAGAGATAGACAACTGATCACAGACATAGACAACAGATCGCAGACATAGACAACAGATCAGTATGATGCAAACATTCATTGAGACAGACTATTGCTTTGGTTCATTCAAGGGAGAAAATAGGATAGATAGGATAGAGGATGAAGAGACAGGCAGATCAGATCATAAAAATAATGGATCAGATACTATCATGCTATTGTAGAAATCACAACCAAGGTCATAAATAGTGAATGGGGAGCTATGGTCAATATAAACTGACAGCCGAGCCAATTGATATCAATCAATGATTGGTCTAAGCACGGCCCTTGAGCTTCTTCTGCGCCTCGGCAAGGATTCCAGACCTGGATGGAGAATTAGGCCCGGGACCTCCTTGTCGCTTGTTATTTTTTTCATTTGTTGGGTACGTATTAGTGAAGTGATCATCATTATCGTCGTCCGAGCATTCGCCTTCTTCGCTTTCATCCTCGTTGTCTGGCTTTGGGGATGGATGTACCGCAGAAGAGGTTGAAGGGATGGGAAAGACCGAATGGGGACTGTTGGCCCTTTGCTTTCCTTTCTGATTTTCCGGAGTAGGTCCCACTTGAAATGAGATTGCAGGATTTTTGTTTGCAGGAGTAGAATTCTTGCGTGCTCCAATTCGCTTACTGATTGATGTTTCCAAATTTAGCCACCATAAGCAAGAAGCCAAGAAAGAACAATCAAACATGAAATACTTACAGGTTCGGTAGAGGTTGTTGGCCCGAGTCAGAGGCCGAAGGAGTTGACATCAAGTTCACAGTGGTGGTTTGGCCTCCCGCAGATATCGATACCAACAAAACCTTGTAGATAGAGTAGCACATATCAGATGTGTTGTTCAGAGCAAGAAGAATTTCAAGTACTTACCGTGACTTGCCACACCTCAGCATCATCATCATGGCCACTGATGTAACCAACGATCAGTGCTTCGCGTCCAACTTGAAATAAGTTGAACGTGTGACCCAAGAGTCTATTGCCGTGAACAATGTAGTTTGCTTGGAACTCCATGACTTCCTTGGACTGTACATGAATGATAAAAGATAAGAAGAAGTTAAACTATCGTCTGCAATTGTTTTGTCGTTTGAAGAAGAGAGAGAAGCTCACCGCAGTGTGATAATCAGTGTGCTTCACAGAAACATGAAGATCATTTTGAACTGAATTGTTTGGACCGTCGACCTTTACTTCCTGGCGGTTAGTTATCACGCCAAACCCGAATACACCGACCTTACTCATCAGCAAGGAAGCAACTTTGGTGCGATACTGTTCAGTCCGACCAATACACAGGGTAAGGGCTTGGTCGTAGAAAAAAGTGTAGCCAGTACACTCGGCTTTGTCGTCAGCTTCATTCTTTGGTTCCTCGGGGTTCTTGACAAAGCGGCCTCCAAGAATGTAAACCCTGTCCCTGATTGGGGCAGTTGATCTCGACCCGTAGCCAGATAGCAATATCTCGTGGTTGTAATGCTTTCCGGTAGTTTTTTCTTCTAAAACAACAGATGATCGGTAATTAAATTGACCGAAGTTGTTATGGTCTTTCAAGGTGGTCGGCCCCTGAATGGAAATGTCAATATCCAATTTCAAATCAGATCAGATTTGATTCAAACTGGAAAATGCCTGCATCTGTCAAACTTACCAGTTCGATGATGTCAAAAGGGCCCATCGAGTACATAGGGTGACTGATCCTTCTTGAGTTGGACATGTTGGACAGGCGTAGTATTGTATCGTAATCGGAGATAGATCAAGATTGGTTTTGGATGATGTGAGGAAGTAGTTTTCTTAGATCGGATGCTGTGAGTGAGGTGAGATCATCAACAGATCTGAGGGGTATTTATCTTTGTTCGGATTGATGGTTTGATTGACCGTTTCTGGAAGGGCAACAGCTGGAGCAGACTGCTGAGAGAGAGAGAACTTTCTGGTACCCGATACAGAAGAGCAAGAAAGTAGAGGTTAGAAATAAATCCAAAATGTGTCTATGTAGAGTCTAAAGATCAAGCAGTAGAGTCATACAAACGTACCAGAACGTACCTCAAAACGTGATGTGTTGTCATAGTTTCAATGTGTATGAGAATAGGGAAAGAATCAGGTTAGTTGATTTTGGAAACAAACTCTACTCCAGGTTTGGCTACATATGCAGAAGATCAAGAGGATGGGTCAAGATGTACTGACCAATTTGGGTTGACGTCATTTTAGTGTGTCAAGAAATTTACTGACCGATTTGGGCTGTCGTCATTTTAGCAAGGGGAAATTGAGGCATTTGCTGATTGGAATTGAAATGTACGGCCTGAGAAATAGAACTTCACTGAGAGGATGTGAAGAAATAAAGAACAAACTTGATTAGATGGTTGATGACTCGATACAGTATGTATGAGGTCATGATCGGTCGTAAGAATGTGATGTCATGCTGCAGATGGAGTGATGGATATCACGGGTGCCCTGACATCCATCCCTCACCTATAAATAGACCTTAATGCGCCTCTACATTTAGGCCTTTGACGCCGTGCTAGCATGAGGGTAATGTAATCCTTCATCCGCTAAGCACGGAAGTCCATACAGAGTCACAGAGTCACAGAGTCACAGAGTCACAGAGTTCACACTTTGAGAGGAGAGTCAGTGAGTCACAGGATGTACACAAACTTACCGGCACAGAGCAAGTGAAACTGTGAAACACAGTTTTTTTTTGTGAACCTGATAGGCCTCAGGTGCCTTGCGGCTCAGCGAACTTAAAAACTTCGAACCGTCAAGGTTTTTAATCTTACTAATACATTGTGTTTCAGTTCTGCTTGTCTATTGTCCTGTCACTTCTTCATATAGTTGTCTGTCAGAGTTCTTAACTCAGCTCATCGGGTATGCTCGAGCTTAACATAAGCCTCGCGATCGGAGGGTCCCGAAGGGACCCCGCGTCCGAAGGGACGCTCTCCGAAGGAGAGGCTTACCTCCAAAGCCCCTCCGATGACTCAAGGTAAATGAGATTTCTGCGAAAAAAACGCTTATTTTGCCTTTGAAAATTATTTAAAAATGTACTCTTCAACTTTTCGTAATTCTGAGTAGGCAGAATTGTACTTTATCATCTCAGCTCTCAGACCGATCCTTTTTGTAATTTTTTGCCTTAAAACCATTGTCCCTCCGATGTTTTTAGCTGGTGATGATCTGAATTTTGCCAAGATCCAATTCGGATCCGACTTCATCAGATCGTGGACCCTCTCACGGGTTCCTGTCGGATTCTGCGCAATTGCATAGTATCCGGTTTTCAATAGTGAGTGTTTGTATTGGCAGGCATTAGATCTCTCAGCGTTCAAATGCCTCACCATCGCTTAAGTATAAGAGTATTTTTAGATGATGTGTAATGAAAAAAACTCATGTGACATTATCTCACATACTATGCTTCACCGAATTACACATTCATGACCGGATCTTTTGGTGGAAAATCCGGCTTTGAAAAAGCCGGATTGTTTACAGATAGTTTCCACAGCCCCAACTTTACAGGACAATTCTCAGGAACAGGAACAGATATTGAAGATTTGGAGGATACAATAATTATCCTGTAAGCCTTGCGATTTCAATGGTACCAGAGGCGGGATGGGTACATGAGTGCTAGTGGGTGCTATCGGGGAGGGGGAGCTACTCACAGCCAATTGGCTGGACTCTGTAGGGTGAGACTTGCATCGAAAGACCTCCTCGGAGGGACCTTGTGTTAAGTTCGGGGTATGCTATGATTGTCTCTTATAATAATTTTCAATATAGTCTCAGTGTCTAATTGTAATTCTTCAGGCTCTGGTTTTCATTCTCAAGTAATCAATTCATAGTGTTAGGTTTTTTAGACTTCCGTTTCTCCAATGTGAATACATGTATGAAGAGATACATATTTGCTTAGACAGATCGCACACATCTTTTCCTCTTTCTTTGTTTCTCTTTGTTTCTCCTATGTACTCCTCATCTCGCAGGATCCGGAACTGTCGGGCAACGATTAAGACACTTGAAATACACGTATGATGTGCAATGTGGCGCGCGTGTCCGGCCAGCCTGAGTGTGAACTATAAAGAGAGAGAGAGAGAACAAGTGAGATCTATGTAATTTATGAAAAAGTGTTTTGCTTGATGGTTGCGAGGCCGGGAAGGGGGGTCGGCTGTGATGCGACAGAACGCGGCTGTCGGGGCTAATGCGATTTGGGGAAGCAAGCTCTCACTGGAGGCAGCCGGTCCCTCGGCAGGGCTGACTGCCGAGTCTGAGAAGAGAATATCAACACAGAGATAGGGGGGATGCTGGGAGATGGCTGAGGAGGAAACCTCAGAATTGCTGGTGGAGCGTGCCGACGCCAGACGGTGGGTGTAGGAGGGGGAGCAAGACCAGCGGCTGGGTTATCGGCGGCACGAGGCTCTTCTGGTTGAAAATCGGGACGCTGGCGTAGGGTGGATCAGGGGCCGGACCAGTGTTCCCCTCCTCTCGGCCCCCGGCTCCTCAATCCAATGCTCCTAGTAAGCTGATGAGTGATTGGGTGGCACACTCCGATACCATCAAATCCAAAGAGATTCATCCTGCCGTGTGGGCTGTCTGGTCATTTAAAAGCTTCAAGTGGTAAAGTGGTGCCAGTGGTAAGTATGCAGTGAAGGGTAGAATATTGCATGGGTGGATGCATACAACCACATTGACTCCAATTTCCCACATCATGGTCAACAGCCAAAAACCCATCCAGAACCAACCCAACAATCAAGATGCTCAAGCCAGAACTCACTCACTCTCGATCTCACTCCGGTTCCTCAGTCGTCAACGTGCTCGATGACCTGCGGGTGAAGAATGTCAGACCACTGATCCCTCCCCAGGTAAGTGGTTCACAAACTCACTCACATAAATATGTATCTCGTTCACTTCACAACTGACACCCCTATCCTCAGATTCTCATGGAAGATTATCCGGTCAGCCAGACTGCTATCAATACTATCACTGCCGGAAGACTTGGGGCCGATGCTATCGTCAAAGGCCAAGACGACCGACTACTTGTTATCGTCGGACCTTGTTCCATTCATGACACCAAAGCTGGCTTAGAGTATGGTATGTGCATCGTTCTTTCACATCACCCGTTTGTAATCAACCTACTGAACCTCCTCTTTCTAATTTATTGAAACAAAAGCGAAATTACTCAAGGCCTACGCAGACGGGGCAAAAGATCATCTACATATCCTCATGCGGTTCGTCGGAATTGATCCTCACCTTTTCCAGTTTCAAGCCCCTTCATTAATTTTTTTTTCTTTTTTTTTTTTCTTTCAAATCAGGACGTACTTCGAGAAGCCAAGAACAACCGTTGGCTGGAAAGGATTGATCAATGGTACATAACCTATTCTCCAGCAAAATCGGGAATCTGACGCTGATCGGCTGTCGTTATCAATCAGATCCATGCCTCGATGGCTCCTTTCAAATCAACAAGGGTCTCCGGATCGCCAGAGGATTCCTACTTGAATGTGTACATGGCCAACTATCCTGATGTCCTGATGATACACCTCCTGTGTTGACCACTCATGCATCTTCATTTTTCTTGTGTCGCAAATATACATCGGAATCATACCAGGCCGAATTGGGCATTCCCGTGGCGGTTGAGTTTCTGGACCAAATTTCTCCTCAATATATCGCTGATACGGTCTCATGGGGTGCTATCGGTGCTCGAACAACAGAATCTCAATGCCACCGAGAACTAGGTTAGCATTTCCTTCACAGTACCCAAAAATCTGTCTCAGCTTCTTAACTCCCCTCTAATTCATTCTAGCCTCTGGCCTTTCAACACCGGTTGGGTTCAAGAATGGAACCAATGGTAGTGTCGGCATTGCTATCGATGCTATCCGGGCTGCCAAGTCCGGGCACGTCTTCCTATCTGTCACCAAGCAGGGTATATCCGCCATCGTTGAAACCAATGTAAGACAGAAATGGATTCAAGTTTTCTGACATGACGTTGTTGAAAAGTCAGCTCTAACCAAATCAGTACTTCAAGCTGAAGCACCTGTTTTGGTTTCTTCACAGGGAAATGATGCATGTCATGTGATCTTGAGAGGATCAAACACCGGGCCAAATTTCTCATCTAGTCACATCAAAGAATGTGTCCAGGAGCTCTCGAAGGCAGGATTGAAACCACTCGTCATGGTCGATTGCTCTCACGGAAATTCGGAAAAGAAACATGAAAGGCAATTGGTCGTCACCGAGGACCTCGCTAATCAGCTTGAAAATCCTGAGACTCAAGATTTCATCATGGGTGTCATGATCGAATCAAACCTGGTCGAAGGTTTGATATTCTTTCAACATTCGCACTTCTCAGCCTTTGTACTGACTGACCCTCCGATCACACAACCTTTCAACCTTTTCCGCAGGTAAACAAAGCCTGGAGGCCCTTGGACCAAACAAGCTTGCTTACGGACAGTCAATCACCGATGGTCTGTGATATCCCTCGTACTTTATCCAAAACAAAGACATTATAAGATGCTGACCGCTTGCGTGACTTTCACTCATCATCTTGAATGACAAACATCAGCTTGTTTGGACTGGGAATCAACCAAGAAAGCCCTAGATAGGTTGAAGGCTGCAGTTGGCCAGAGACGCTCTCAAAAACTTGCTGCAGGCTCCTCCGGCTCTGCTTAAAAAGGTCGCTTCTTTGTGCGTCTGTCAGGTCTCTCTTGCAGTTCTTGATACTAATATACATAAACGTCCTGAATATATCTTTTCGGAAACTCAGCCATCTCATACGATACCCCAAACGCGGAAAAAGGAAAGTAAAAAAAAAAAATCACTATACCGTTCCCCACAAAAAAAAACTGCAGAGGAAAAATAACCAACGAGTCGACAATACCGCTAAACGTACAATGTGTCTTTGAATTCTTCACGCATGTCTACAAAACTTAACCCCTGCTTGTCTTTTTTTCTTTTTCTCTCTGTTTATTTGAATGATACCCCTTGTCTTGCAATCAGAGCTTTTTTCGCGCCAAATACCTTCCTCGTTTCGTGTCCCATGTTGTCTCTGCTAGTCATGCACTCCAGCAGATTTGCATTCATAGTATAGGGGAGTTCCACAATTGCTTAAGCCCTTTTTTTACACCCAATTGGTTGTGGACAATGTTTGTGGACATGAGCTAGTTTGTAATCATCACCTCAAGCCTGTCCTTGAGATCTGAATAGTTCCATATGAGTTATTTTAGCCTAGATATTTTCTCTCAAAGTGATGATCCATAATCAATTTATCTAATCTGGTTGTGGTAATTCTTCTTGCTTGCTTTGGAATTCTCCAAGATCCCATCAATACCATTCATGCGACTTTCCACAAAAGAAAAGCTGACTCTTTGATGACTTAATATTGCACATACATGTGTCTAACTCTGGCCTTAGTTTTGTAGTAATGTACCTTGACGGTTTTCCATATGCATCTCTGGTAGCTATGTAACAGGTGTGAATTCTGGGCTGTCTATCAACTCATGCAGTAGGGGATGAACCTCTTTGCAACGAAGTGTCTCAACTAAATGCAAGTTGCATGAATGGATCAAACCAGGTGGAGAGCTTTCTTGTGTGTAGCTATTTCCACTAAGGAGGTGTTAGTTGTCATCAATTGAAAACCAGTAGTAAACGCGACTGGAGTTCGCTAGATCCTGGACCGATCCCACGTGCACGCGAGGCTAAAGGATCACTTCCATCGAACAAATTGCTAACTTAATATCCATCCATCTAGAGTGTCCGGCGGGGGTTGATTATCTGACTGATAAAGTTTGCCGACGAAATTCGGGATGCGTCTCGGTCAAATAAGTTGGTTATGACACATGAAAAGGAATTTCAGAAAAAAAAACACAATGCGTAAAAGGGATTCAAGTGGAATTGGATTTCTAATGGCCACTACCGGATGGGACTTTAGCGGTATCCCAGGCCAAGCGTTCTTGGTTTTCTTGTTCGATTTCCTTAACGAGCGGGGTCAAATATCTGACATCCTACATAGATTTCAGACAAAAAAAACAACCAGTCAGGATTTTTTTGTGAGGAGATTTTGGAAGAAAAAAAAAAACATAAGGGCCTGTGGCTCACGTTTTCGGGTTTGGTCCATTGTTCCTTGGGGAGCTCCTTGTGAAGCACAGAGCATTGAGAGGCCACACGAAGTCGGTAGGATCGATCGTATTGTTCACGTTCGGTGAGACGAGTGATAGCCTGTAAGAAACGAGAGATATACGAGATAAGTCTTTCCGTTCCAGATGTTTTCTCGAATATATCTCGAATGGAGGGATGAGATGACCTTTTGCATGGTTTGGTTCTCCTCCATGATCAAGTCGTCATATCTCAAGCCGAACTTTCGGTACCCGGCAAGATTCGCATACCATGTGGCGATCGGCTTCAAGAATCGGTAGAGCGGTTTGTTGGCCCTGATCTGCTGGACGAACGAGGTTCCGAGGGCTGACATCTTGCGATATGCTGTGAGTGTGAACTGGTGAGTTGAAGTGCAAAGCTTGAGGTGAGAGTATGAGGTCGACGGTTGAGTTGTTTTGTGTCGGCTTTGGCCGGAAATGTCACTGAGTCGGACCCCATATATGGAGTGTCTGCAGCGGCGCCGGGGAGTCCTATCGGGCGCGATCTCATCCGGGTTCCCCGGTCGTGTTCAGCCCTGTGATCCGAGGAACGTTCCCTCTGATCTAGGTCTTGGACAGCACTGTAGAGAAGGATTCAAACTACTGTTTTCATGAGGGCATATCTTGAACGGAGGACAGGACATGGGGCCTGAGAACTAGGCACAAAGTATTTTTTTTTTTTCGGAATTGGAATTGGACGGCCGAAGGCCAGTTCCACTTTATCTTCCATCTTACCTCTGTCTCCCTGAGGCGTGTTCCAACAATTATGTATGCGCCTTGTCAGTCTTGCTGCTTTAGTTCTTCGAAGCTCTGGTAGGTGTGAAACTTTGGGACTCGGGAGACAGAGGTAGAAAGTGAACTGCCAATGAATTCTCCGATGCTTGTTTTCATCCCTCTCAGTGAAAACTTCAATTTATGAAGATTTGATTGAAATTATATTCATATTGACCATTCACCAGGGTACCTCATCTAGCAGTCTCGGCCAAAAGTTCCACATTTTCAGGGACTACAGTACAAAGTGAGCTATGATGGTCAATTCTGATATTTTGTTTGGCTCCATTTTTTGTCATCACATTGCTGAACCGGATTTGTTTGCTACCGAACTTATTTTGGGCATCATAATACATTCTACAAGCGTCAATATGTCCAATGACACCGCGGACGATTTTTGTTAAGTCAATACAGAGAAAACTGGATGTTCCTCTAACGAAGGAGAGATATATCATTCAAGCCTCCCATTCCTCTGCAATGTCATCAAAGAACTGCTTGGCGAGTCGGTCTTGGATCTCCGATCCCGTCACGCCGTCTTGATCTGCAATCCCTCTGATCACAAAGAAATGGTGGCCCATCAAGTCTTGGCCGGAACCATCGGCGTCAAATGGTTTCCCACCTTTCCCATAACATTTACCGCCCGCTTCAAGCGCAATCACCGTTCCAGCGCAAACTGAAAGGAGAAAAGGAGATCCATGTAAGAATCGTTGATACTTTTGTGAGGTTTCTGTTGATCTTGTAGATTTTACAATATGCCTTACCGTCCCAAGCCCAACATCCAATCTCCCAATATAAGTCTAAGCTTCCTGAAGCCACTGATGCGTAGTTGAGAGCAGCGGACCTAACATAGTGAAGGCGGAGAAATCAAGCGAGCGGAATTTTAGTTGAAGACCCTCATATTGAAAGAGATGAACGCACCCCATAGATCTCAAAGAGTGGCACATCACCCCACCGGGTACATCTTTCGGATCCCCAGCCAGCTTGACGAAGGTGTTTGTCTTCTTCTCCAGAGTGGCTTTACTGCGATCAGAACCCCACTCTACCCCGACTAGAGCGTCTGAAAGTTTCTCGAGTGGCAGGTAGTCCGGGTAAGATAACGGGAGACGCGTCTTCTGATTGAAGAAGGCCCCGTGTCCCTTGACGGCTGTGTAAAGTTGTGACAAGAATGGGTTATAGATCACGCTGAAATAACGAGTGGATAGTCAGTATTCAATCTTACATCCGTCTTATATTACGCATCACGCCAACGACGACGGAGAATCACTCACCCTAAGGTGGGAATCTTGTTGACAACCCAGCCAATACTGATACATACTGATGGGAAACCGTGAACGAAGTTTGTTGTGCCTAAAGTTCCAAAACAATGTATACATGTTCAACGCAATGTACCTTGGATCAGTAAATCAGGTCTCTTGGGAGCTACCATCCACGGGATCACAAATCCACGTCGGCGCATTCTACGGAAAATTAAATGAGATCGAGTTTAGAGTGTAGATACAGGACATTTTTTGAGGACATGAAATCGTACCGTCAATTCCGCCTTAGCATCCACAGCAAAGGTTTCTTCTCCGATAAACCTGCCATTCAAGATTGAAAAAGAAATGTGAAATCTGGATGAGTTCTTTGTTCTTCTTCTTCTTTTGTTTTAGGAGGAGCCAATCAGACGCGACGAACTGATGATCAGGGAATTTCTCTCGAAGTGATTCGGAGACCATCTTTTCGACCATTTGGTCTGTCTCCGTCACCAGATCGATCCGGTTCTTCTTGTCATTGATCGTCCCGCCCCTTCCGCCGGCTCGATCCTTTGAGGCTCGAAGGATAATCTCTCCAGCCTTCATGGCAAGCTTGACAGCAAAATTCAATTCAGCTTCGTAGGATGGATGAGTCGCCATGTTGAGAGCTTCACTGGTCGATCGATAATGATATCCACGAATAGTTTGATGTATGTAGATGATGTGAGGTCTTGAAAGTCAATCTCAATCAGGATTCAGAACTGCTCCTGTGCCCCCCGCCCATCTCGGGGGATATTCCGCGCTCGATCGACGTCCTTCGAGTGGTCAGGTTCAGGAGAGCAGTGATTTCAAAGGACCAAAAAAAAAGGAATGAACAAAATCTACACAAGAACTAAAGAGGATACACAATTTGAATCTGGCTGACAGTGTCGCATGATCTTTTGAATGCTCATATTTACTTACTATGATGGTGAAATTCACCCGTACATTTACACTAATAGTTTTCTTGTCTTATTCTATGCTCAATTATTCCCGTTTTTTGCCAGTCCATCTAGTTAAGAGCTCGATTGTCTTTTTTTCAACCTGTTGTTTCAATTCTTCACCGCGTCCTACCAGTGAAGATCTCTGATCTATGCCATAGCTGGAGCGAGACATGCTGGCTCCAACATTGGTCACCCTGTGTGCCTTCACGCGGATGTTGCATCCGTATGCCGTATTATCTGGTTGGCAGCCTAGCAGCAACATCTGTCCCTTTGCTTCGACGCTGGCGTTGCTCATGAGACTTAACCGGCGTGACCAACGATCCCAAAGGACAAGGTACACCGGCAACCCAGCTCGGTACGGTCGTCACGCTACAACAAATTCAGTTCCCTCCATCTCGTCTTTGTTGTCTCCCCGGGTTTGCTGTCAGGACCGGAGAAAATGGATTTTTCAAAGACTTCTGGAGAAACAAGAGTCTGCTGCTAGACAATCGACGAGCTTACAGAATGTCGAGGTGATGATACTACGGCTCTGGTCGTGATGAGCTACAGACCTATAGCAATCCGAGCTGCCTCAAGTGTCATAGATATCCTGCAATCCGAAGAGAGTTGCTCTGAATGTTCGCTATAGCCGGGAATCGGACACCAGGACAACCATAGACTGGATCCTCAATCGTCTGCGACCGGCATATCAGCTACTCAACGTGTTGCTATTCCACAATAATCGCCCCGCCTACTAAACAGATTCGAATGCCGGCCTTCGTTCCTCGGATTCCTGATTACCGAACGGAAAACTCCCCGGAGACCTCGTCTCCAAAGGTCACCATGCTATGTAAACATCTGGAGGCAGCCTTGAATATAAAAAGCCAACCCTCCATACTCCAGTTTCTGAACGTCACTCCTCAGACAAACAAATCTGCAGCTAACCAAGTTATAATTCTTCATTATCGAAGTGTAGATTTTCTTTTTCTGAAGGCATCATCGAGCCAGTCCTCACTCCATCTTGAAGGTTTTATGATGCAATCCAATATTTTTCTGTCATCAATTCCTTGTATGTTGCTTCTCGTATTGATTGCGAGTTTAGCTTCGTATGCTTCAGCGTACCATTGCGAAGACATCAAGCCTTTCCCACTGGCTGCATGTATGATGACGAATTATACGACAGGCGAGTTGGAAGGAGGTGAGTCGAACTTGAACAGTCGTGTTTCAACCGGTTGAAGCTGACTTGTCCTACGCATTCCTTTGCCGACAGGGGGAAGTCGTCCGGGGGCCCCAAATAGGAACGATAAGTTCGGATGCGGAGATGGATTCATCAACACACCGTTATGCTGCAAGATTGTGAGTAAGACCATCGAGCTGGTCTATACAGTGCTAGTTGATAGATAGTGTATATTAGCCAATCGTGGAATCGAATTCTGAAAACTGGCTCACATTTATCCACAGCCTTTCGAAAAAGTTGACCAGAAAAACGTTAAAGACAGCTGTATCTTTGCCCCTGATGGCCCCGCTCGAAAATAATAGAAGTAGATGACGAACCCAAGGACATCTTTCAGTTTAGCACTTTCTTCATCTCAAAATGCTTCACAGAAGCTGTGTCTTCTGCAATAATAACAACCAAGATTGCATCAAGCATTTATGATATAGCTTCATTTTATCCTTTACCCAAAGATACCTAGCTCTATGGCTTTCCATTTTGTAGTTAGAGATCAGTTGAACTACTAGATAACTCCAACATGTGCCTGCTCAAAATATTTTAAGCATTTCATGTTATCCATGGACATCTGTTTTGATTCTTCTTGAAATTGTTCACCTAAGACTGTGCTCACATGTGGCCAATGCATTACAATTTGTGTTTTCTTCCTTCCACAGGTGGAACTGCCAAGTAGCCTATACTGTGTACATACCATCCGAAGAAAACCAGCGAATATAGTGCCCAGTGGTTATGCCACATCCGTCGGTATACCGAGTGGATTAGGTTAGTTCCAGCATATATTGGATCACAAGTGAAAGTGATGCAGTCGGCAGACTGGTGGCCGAAATTTGGCCACGCGCAGGTAGTGAGTGGTGTACTGGTAGATATAATTACCTAACAAATTTGCCCACAACGAAGTCACTTCAGGTCACTTCGCGCCATTGATCAGTAATATTACCTTCATTTGTGCGCATGATTACGGCGTTTTAGGCCGGCGGTTTACTCCGTTGATATAACTGCTAGGATGCGGCTTTCGGACCGGTTCAAGTCATGCTAGGAAACTTATGTACCATCGATATCCGGTGCGCGTGTCGATGGCGTCGCTTGTGCGCCTGAAGATGTCCAAATTTCAGCCGTCTCCGGAGCGACGGAGCTTCTCGTCCTCCGATGGGCGCTAATCAAGTTGAAGATTTCATGCCATCGCCGGGTCTGATCGATGAAGGGCCAGTGTTCGGGTTGATCGGAAACCCCTCGGGCGTTCCTCGGGCCCCCCTGCTTATATAAGCCAGTTGTCGCTTGCACCACTTCAACCAACAACACCACCAGTGACCACCCACCCACCCACCAAGAATCAGCCAAAGCCAGGGGGAACACACACAATAATACCACTGGTCAGCAGCATCCTTTCTCTCATCTGATCTATCAATCAAAAATTCACCACAGCTGACAAAACAAGAGAATTGGCAGGTCTCATACTATATACGATTCCCTTCGCTACTTCACGTCAGAGGCTCGAGGCCACACGATCGAACAGTCCCACACAATATCCTCAAGCTTTTCCGTCCCAGTCCTCAAACGTTTCAGGATGAGAATATTCCTAAATCGCGGTCCATCATCGAACTTTTCCACATGGGTTTTTATCCTCACGGTCCCGATTCTCAAAATCAGATCCTCTCCAGGAGATTATTCGCCGGGCTATCAACGATGTGTGAATTACTGCAACTTCGAGAACTGTTTTACGGTCGATGAAAATCCCAAAGCACTCCCATTCAGTCTAAGATTATTCCATTGGACCTGTACCGATAATTGTGCATATCAATGTATGCATGATCTCACTCAAAAAGTCCTCAAACTACCAAGAGCAGTCCCCAAACCTGGTCAAACTTTCGAAGGCTGGTGGGATGAACCAGACTGGGAACCCGGGACGGAATTAGAGGGTCTACCTCCGGGGAGGATCGTTCAATTCCATGGGAAATGGCCCTTCAAACGATGGTACGGTATTCAGGAACCGCTCTCAGCACTCTTCAGTTTCCTAAACTTTACCGTATACGCTCTTTCGTACCGGAAGATGAAACGACTCATCCCACTCGACTGGCCTTTACGCGCTCATTATCTTGGCGTGGCTATGGTTGGCATGAATGCTTGGATGTGGAGCATTCTCTTTCACTGTCGAGATAAACCATGGACCGAACGTCTGGACTACTTTAGCGCGGCGGCTTATTCGCTCTACGGACTCTACGTATCCAGCATCAGGATCTTCAGATTGTACCCGACCCATGCTCGCCATTACATCCCACTCGATCAACGGCTACATATCGGTAGTCAGCTCAAGCTAATCATGAGTGCAATGTTTTTAGTTCACATCGCATTTCTGAGCTTTGGTGAACGATTCAATTACAAGTACAATATGGCCGTCAATGTGATCGTTGGGGTCTTGACGATCCTACTCTGGTTAAGCTGGACTGCATCCCATTCTCATCGACCGCCAAAGGGACTTCCTGCGAAGCTTGACGTCGACGAAGACCTGATTTCTTCGCCTCAATCTGAGCAGTCTGAGTCTCCCCCACCGTCACCAGCTCGACCAAACGGCTTCTTCTCATCCGCTTGGCTCTCACTGCTATATGAATCCATCCCAGCCGTAACAGAAACGGGGATCGAGCCGCCCTATGTTTCTAAACCGATCATCCCACTGGTCTGTCTGATCGGTGCTGGATCGCTAGAGTTACTAGACTTTCCACCTGTCTGGAATATGAGCTTGGACGCCCACGCACTCTGGCATCTTGCTACGACCCCTCTAGGCTGGATTTGGTGCGTCGGATTTCTCGCTCAGGATGCTCAGTGGGAATCTCAATTTGTCGAAGGAATCAATCGGCCTGGATCCGATTCGAAGGAAGCCGAGGCCACCGCAAAATCAACACCATCAAAATCCCCACCCATCATTACCACCACCAAGGTCGACTAGACCTTTCAACTCAAAATTCAGAATTGCAGGACAGCAAGAGAGAAAATACGCTTTGTATCCACAGAAAATTTGCTTCCAAGTGTTCATGTCAGCATTTATATCATCAACAACTTTTCTCTCTTTTTTTGCTTCGTATTATTCACTTCAACATATTGCTACGATTTTGTAATCCCCACGAATTTTATCTTTGTGTTTTCTCTTTTTTGGACATATTACCTACTCAACATATACATTTTTGGTTCACCATTGCTCATCCGTTATCATTCTCCTTACTTCTTTCCTTTCGAGGTTTCAAAGATATATAGGTATATGTATAAATTCAATTTGATAAGTCTTGATTGTCAGTTTTCCACTGTTCGATCCAAGCTAAGATACGATGGATATTAGAGTCGATAGCATCAATATTTTCACTATCCAATTCGATCACGATTTCCTCGTCATAGTTCTCTCTAGCCTCTTCCAGACATTCGCCCATGATTTCAGCCTCGTTATTCTCTTGAATCTTCTTTAACGAATACTTCCGTTTCTCTAATCGATCCCAGAGTATCGTATGTGATGTCCGTAGAACGATGACCAAGTCGATCCATCTCTCCGGGAAGATTTCTGAGGAATGCCAGTCTAGTATGATTCCCCCTTCCGATGAGGACATCAGGGGTTCCAATTCGTCTAAGAGCTGAAGGCCCATCGTCAAAAGAAAATCAAAGTTAATTGCTTGGAATCAAAACTTCAACTGGGCGAGATGAAGGCTGAGAAGAGGAAGATTTGCTTGATGATTTCTGAAGCAACTGGAAAAGAAGGAAAGAAAGCGGGTTTTTTTTTGTTTTCCCGACTAACTTTTTCATCGTCGACCAACCAACTCTGCCATTCATCATCCCATCCTTCATGGCACCCATGTTCCTTAACGAAGTCACCGATATTGATCGCCCTGAGTGCGCCGTTGGATTCCTGAGCCAGCATCTCCGCATGGGTGGTCTTTCCGGTGCCGGGAGTACCGGTGATCAGGACATTCGGATTCTTCCGTCGACTCGATCCGTCTTCATCCACGGTTGCCATCGGGGATCCCTTCCTTCCTTGGTTGTAAACTGTTGTCTTCTTTAAGTTGGGCAAGTTCTTGGTTTTTGCTTTGGGTGGTTCTCTGTGTGATCCGGCCCACCAGTCGGACTTCACCCCGGCCATGGCTATCCGCACAAATACTTTTTTTGCATATCCAATTTGGACAACTTCCCAAGATCAGCAATCCCAATGGCAAAAGTGATTGGTCTACAACATCAAATCCCTTCAGATACATCCTTCATGTTCTTTTCTTTGACTTTCCATTACTATGTAACATTCATATAATTATGGTCATGGAGCCTCTTCGAAGGAATACTCTATGTAGAACTGAATATGAGTGCAGGGATCTGCAGGTGGGTGGTATCAAATCCTCTGGAATTGGAGGCCAAGTTTGGAAACACCAAAGAAAAATCAATGACATCCTATGAAAACAAAGAAACTGACTTATTTTGAGATAGATTTATCAGTGAGAAAATGAAAGCTGAAATTCTTTTTTCAGCTCTTTTTCCACTCTTCTCAGAGAATGTTCATGGGTAAAAAGTTAGAATACACACTTCCAGGAAGCCTTATAGCCAGTTTGAGGGTATCCTTATCCATGTTAGATGGCTGTTACACCTACAAGTACCACAAGATCAGTCCTATTCCATTTTCTCACAATCTGCGTATTTGTTTGTTGGAGAAAACATACGATTGGTTCTAGTGAAAGAATAATAAAATACAAACGTGATAGAGCCTTTCCAGCCCAGTGAAGTGGGATTCTTGGATGTATAGATTGGAAATGTAAGACTTTCCTGACAGTGTTTAGTAATCAATTCAAAAAAAAAAAAAAAAAAAAAAAAAAAAAAAAAACGCCAAACTTGATTTTAGAGGTTCATTTTCACTCTTCTACTAAGAATAGCAGATTCTTGAAAAACAATGGAAATCCTATTTCTTACTTCACAGTTCTTCAATCAACACATTTGGATCCCCTTGTTTGGCTATTGGGTCCAAAAATTGGGATAGGTTCTCAGAAAAACGTGTAGCTTTTTGATGATGGACGATGGTGTCTGCTACTCTAGTCATGCCAGAAGATATAATTCAATCCAAACTGAACTAAAGAAGTAGTGCCAGAAAACTGTCTTGGAGGAGGCTCAGAATGTATGTAGCATCAAGACCACAACACAAATGATGTGATAATTCATTCTTTGTAGTTTCAGTTTCAAGCCCTCCTCACCTCCTCATAACATTTTTTTTTTTACAAATTTGTTTGACATTTTACATTCTTTGAGCACTCCACTTTGGGGGTTCCACCATTCCTGCAGGAGGTTTCAACACTGATGACACCTTGATTGCATAATTTTCTTGGCCAGGCCCAGGGGAAACTTTTGAATCTTGCAGTCACAAATTATACATTTGTAAAATTCTCAGGGTTTACTCTTGTAAGCACAATTTGACCACCTGTGATCTAATAAATGTGATATAAGAAAAAGAAAACATGCTTCATTTTGGGTTGTTCCCCCAAAAAAACACCCTATAAAATTCTGGCACTCATTTGAAAGCGTCAAGCAGGATCAACCTACAATTTATTCTTTAAGACAATGTAGATCAAGATAGTGATGATTGAAAAGATGCCAACGACGAAATTGAAAAACATGAGGCGACAGCACGAGCAATCATGTCCAGGATAACTGGTGGGGCCCATAGCGAACCTTGCGTAACTCATGTGATAGTCTGCTTCGACCGGATCACTGATATAGCCTTCTTGGATGGGAGAGTCGAGTGGCTGATGATGTTCGGTGGGGCCACTTAGAGGACTGAGTTGAGGTGATGATGTTTGTGGACTCTGATCTGCGACTATCTTGTGGCCGGAGGAAATCTCGGCTCGACAGCTCGGACAGGTGGGCCGACCTCCTCTTAACCATCCATCAATGCACTCCCGGTGGAAAACGTGCTTGCACTTCAACGAACGTAGGTCCGAGTCCAGAAGCCCTAAGCAAACAGCGCAATCGTCTCTTCCATCATTACTTCCACCATTAGATGCTTCTGCTGCACGAGATGTTTCCTCTCCTCGAGCACTGGAACGTTTTCTCGAATAACTTTCCATGCTGCATTTTGTCGGTGTTTCCCTAGTGTACCGATTTCTTTCGGGTGAATCAATCTCAATGACAACATCACCACTCTCTACCTTGATCCATAACAAGTGACACATAAGATGTGAGCAGCAGGATCCATGCTCATCTGACCTTCGAAGAGCAACGTAGACTACTGACTTTTAGAGCCGCGCCAGTAGGACACAAGTCAGTTGGCCGCTGAGAGCCCACTTGGATTAAGGGAGGAGCCACAACGGGCCAGTCATGCTGCCCGATCGAATTTGAGGCGCGTCGAAAGCCTATGGATTCGTCGGTAGACTCGATGGCTTGCGATGAGCTAGCAATCTGTCTCGCGTCTAGCGGCGATTCAAATCCAAGAATATTTCCAGCCAACTTATACATCCACACACGAAGAAACATAGTTTTTTTTTCAGTCAATATAAGGCTGTTGGTGCCATGTAAATACCATCAACCAAGGAATCGCTTAACTATGAGGAGCAATATGCAAGAAGCCATTTTTAGTAGCTGAATATCCTGATCCTCTTTGACTGTTGAAATTGGCGTAAATATACCCGAAAAACGTGCCACTATGAGTTGTTAATATCCATTGTAAGCTATGCAAGCTTGCAGCTTTTAGGTGTTTCTGATGAAAAGTAATGAACTCACGTAAGTAGTAGGGCCTAGGAGCTCTTATCATGTAAGCACTTAATCTAAATAGCTATCGAATCGAGCCAGCAATTCGAAGCTTCGATTGACGTGTTAGCAATGCAAGCATTATCAAGAGATGGCCTGCTTGCCTGAACCATTGTTGAACCCAAATGACTTCAAGCGCAGCCACGAAGATAGCTTTTTCAGCGGAGAACGGCGCCTGGAGAGCTTGCTGCATGGCTAGTGTATGATCCTCAAACGGAGCATGCTGAAGCCTCGTGGCTTTTGTTCACAGCAGGAGGCGGAGCTGCGGCTCACGCTCACATCAGATGCCTAGAGAAGGAGATAACTCGCCGATCTTGATCAATCTTGGCTTCATTTTAGAAGAAGATGCGACATTCCGACGCGGCATAAATCTGCACTTCGCCAAGGAAGGCAAAAATGCCGAAATTCAACTTTTTTAAAACCCGTGATCTGGGGAGAAACTTATGTAATGATGCCCAAGATAAATCATCATGAGGCCAGCATCCTCTTGGGCTAGGCCAAATCACACTGGACTGCGAGCGGGTACAGTGCGGATTGCCGACAGAGTCATTTGAACTCGGCCGTCGAAAGGTATCATATTTGATTTAAGAGCGAGACAGTGTCCTTGAGATCAATTGCACGGAAGAATCATTGTGTGAGAAGAAAAACAACAAGTACAAGTCGTAAGAAATGGAAGAAACAATACGCAAGATGGCTGATCCACTAGTGATACAAATCTGATTTGACTAGAAGTACATGTAGATAGAAAAACTTCACACTCTCCATCCGCCGGTCAAAACGAAAAAAGGAGAAAAAAAACTAGCGGTCGTCGGGTTCATATTCTCATCTTTTTCGCCGAGGTTTGCTCGTTTTCGTGGCCAATCGAGCCGAGCTCGAGACCGTCATCAGTAGCCAGGGCACGTTTGCGGGAGGGGGAAGCCCCGAAGTCCGGCGTGTTTTGACCGACTACGAGATAGCCGGAGTAAGCCCGTTGATTTTCGACAAATCCCTGTCCTCCATGTGCCGTAGGACTTCCTGTGAACTTGCGCGCCGTCACAATCGCGCTTTGCTCGTGGGTCAACGTAGAGAGGAATTGTAAATGATGCGATAGAACTCCATCATTCATTTTGAAGAGAAGCCCCGTCCCGTGGTCTGTCGGTCGGGTCACTTTTTGTGCGATCATCTCATTGGGAGCATTCGCACCCTCATCAGAAGATGACGAGTGAGCAAAATTGGAAGGAATTGATGAGGACTGCTGGGATGTCGACCAAAGAGAGGAGAGAGGTGCCCTTGAGATTTGATTGTAGTTGATCAAGCGGGGCGGGCATTGGGCAGAGAGGCGATGGAACTCATCACTACTGTCGGCGTTGGCGTCGCGTTGTACCGTTTCGAGAGGTGTTCCATAATCAGTGCGCAAATCAGGGGAGATCAGCTGATGAACATTGGCATTTCCATTGATTTCCAACGGGGCTGAAGAGTTGGGAACAAGGCCTTGATGAGTTCTGAATGGAGGGGTTCCGAACTGGGTCCATAGGGCCTTGTCCGGGGTTTTAGTGGGAATGGGGCTCGGTTGTGATTGATAGCGATAGCCTGTGCTGGAGGGACGGCGCAGGCTAGAACCCGAGAAGGAGCTGGGGGCAGGCGAATAAGTAGATTCGGAGGACTCGGTCATCGAAGGACACCGTTCCAAACGATCTTGTCTTTGAGCGGCCATGGTAGCCGCCTTGCGGATATTATTCTGGCGCTGCATATTCTTGTGCACTTGGACGAGGCGCTCTTCAGTCAACGTGTTCTGTTGAGCATCTTCCTTATGGACAGACACCTTGTGCTGCCTGTGAAAATAGTTGGACTGTAAGCGTCAAGATATCAAAAGCTGTGAGATGATTGATGGGGTTGACCAACCTCCAATTATCCAGTCGGCTGAATGATTTTGAACAGTGGCACTTGAAAGGTTTCTCTTTCGTGTGTTTTCTAGAAAGAGAAAAGAGGCGTGAGGATAAGCTTGGAGCAGCAAGGGCGGCGGCAGGCCCCAAGACGCGAAGACATACCTTTCATGCCTTGCAAGATGCTCTGCACGCGTAAATTCCATCTCACAGCTGGGGTCAAGTGTACACTTGAACATCTTGAAAGCTGGTGAGTTGCGGTTACTTTGGTCGAAAGCCGGGTAGCCGATGTTTTGGTTAAGAAGGCTTGGGCTAGGAACATGATAATAAGGAATCGGTTGGCTGGGTGTGGAGGTTTCGGGGTGAATGGCTGAAGCCAAGGTTGATGTGGGAGGAAAGCGCTCGTCGTAAGATTGGTCCACCTCAGCATAGGGTGTGGTGGCTTGGGAGGGAGAGGATGAGGCGACTTGAACGTAAGTAGACCCGGAATAAGGGTTGAGTTGACTCAATGATCCAGGTGTGAAACCCAAGAGGGTCTGATAACCCCAGAGACTGGGCACGTTTGATGGAAAATCAAGTGAGCCAAATGAGTCCGAGAGGCCATTGGCTGGGAGGTGTGAGATGGTGGACCTTTCATAAGAGTGGGAAGGCAAATGGATTGGAGCTGATGGGGTTGAGGGGTAAATCGTAGACAGGTCTGTATGAAAGTGGCCCCAAAGGCTTGCTGCGATTTCGGCATGATTGCTGATGATAAAAAGAGGGAGAAAAATGATGATATGTAAACAAAGGGCAGAAAGAGAGAGCGAAGCCAGCGCGGGGTGGATGACTTACGCTACTCTGGAGTTGTATGAGGAGGGCTGTCCAGTGGTGACTGGAGCAGGGCCGGGATGAAGGTGGAAGGACATGGTTCAGGGGATGGACTGCTGGACTAATTGAAGGAGACTATGGGTGGGGAAGGAGGCAAAAGGAACAGTGAACAGGACAGTGGGGGATAACGGAAGGATGGATGAGCACGACAGGAACTGGGGAAGGGGGGAAAGGGGAGCTCCTTAAGAGTGATTCCGAGCGGGGCCCAGTTAGTGGAGCAAGTGGACTGATGCGCCCAAGCAAGCCAGCCAGCAAGCAAGCAAGCAAGCAGGACTATAGCGGCTGGCTGGAGCAAACATTACGCCTGGGGCCGGGTAAGCTGATAACATGAGCATGACCGATCAAGCCCAGCCAGAAAGAACAAAAACAACAAAAAAACAAACCAGAGGCCGGTTGCGATGAAGAGGGCTGGATGGATATTACTGTGGGGACTGCCAAAGGTCGATAGATTACAAAAAAATAATAAAAAAAATGAAGAGCAGTTCAGACCACCCCACACAGAGTCAATCCACATCTATCGGAAAAGTAGCAGCAGCGGTTGAGTGAAGCCAGTCAGCCAGTCGAGTTCACCGATCAGGAGATCCAAGCCAGCCGGCCTTCCACTCGGCAACCCAAGAACGCGTCTGAATCAGTGGGCCCTCTAGACTATGTAGAGAAACCATCGGGGCGGGGGGACTCAAAGCTTTGCAGGCCGACAGAGCAGACAGGAATCATCTCTTTGGATTGGCCTACACTGGTCTCATCCTCATGGCCTGATAGTAGTGGCATCTGGTCCTAGTGGGAGTGCCACTTCTACTTTTAAAGCGCATTTCAATTACTCAATCTTCCGGGTCTGCGTCTCTCCAGGATGTATGCTGTTGTTCTATCGCCCCGCTGACCTTTCTTGTTGCCTTTGAGAAGTATTTCTTCGTGCTGTCGTCATACATACACCCATCCCAAGAGAGATCACCATCAATACCATCTTACATAAATATCAGCTGCAGGCAGCATCGCACTTCAAACTTCATTGATATTTAATTAACAGTCTGCAAGGTTACGCAGACGCCAACGTGAATTGAAGAGAAGCGCTCGCCAACCCTTTTTGTACGTGGGTGAGTTGAGCCCATGAGCAGAGTATGCAGAAAATGGGATCACAATCTATTTTATGTGAGTCGGAATTCCCGATGCCATCAATCCCCAGCGAGCTGGTTGCGATCCGCGAAGGGGCTGGTATTCCTCCCGACGAGCTGCTAGAAGTCAGTTTTGCGGAAGGGATTCCTTCCATGGGGCTGATTCATACCAGCTCGTCGGGAGGAAGAGCGCTGCCGAAGGTCTGGCTGGGCATAAAGACCAGCTCGCCGGGAAGGGGCAAGCTGGATTGGTACCCAGGTTCTCCCAACAAGCTCACCCGTGTGTCTACATAAAATACGACCGACCCAATTCCCGGCAATAGCCTTGCAATCTACAAGTGATCAGTCAGAGAGCGCTGTTCGTTCAAACTTGGGTTTCCACATTATGCCAACTTGCCGAACAGCTCGTGCTTCAGAAACAGGGAGCAACGGAAAAGCGTCCTATTGTCCACCTCGAGTACAAAATAAAATAACATGGAGGTACATACATAAACCTAGATTTGCGGTAACTATCAACCATCAATACATTGGACATGGTTCAGCACAACAGATTCGGCGTCACTGTCGAGAAGTAGCCAACCGACGTCGGTAGGATGTTATCCTGGCGATTCCTCAGTCATCGCACTTGGTAAAAAAGCTTTGCCCACTGGAGAGAACTTGAACCTTCTTGAGCACAACTCCCTCGACTCTCGAAGCTCTCGAAGTTCGATATCCATTCACTAGACAGCTTAAACAGAGCTTTGTCGCACCCCCGGTCGGAATATTCATGCTTTCGATTGTCTCCCGAGGATGATGATCGACAGTCACCCTTCACAGCATGATGAATTCGGGATGCCAACTGATTCGATCGCAAAAATGTGATGCCAACGTTCTGATCTGATGAAAGGCTGAGATGCCAACCGGTCCGAGGAAAAAGTAGACATATTCTTACCGACTGATTCAGTCATATGCTGAAATGCCGACCTCCGTTCCGGATCTTGCCAACGGAAATCCTTGTTGAGGATACCTGCCTGAGCACCGAGCCAAATTAATATATTCCATAATACGACCTGCAAATAATCACTATCAACAGCGGCTCTACTACTACTGCACCACTCGTAACTTGGGGATGATTAGGACTCCAAACAACCCAAATCTGTCAGAGTTAAGCTGGGGGCAAATCGCCTATAAGAAGACCCCAGATCTCTCCCAAGTTTCGTTCGCCAGAAAACACAGAAAACTTGATCAGCTCAACTCAACAAAAAATCCTTTAGATCTGTCGCCCTTACAGAGTATTCGAACAATTCAGCTTTCTATTATATATAAAATTCCTGAAGTAATATGCACTCCAGAAGTTCCCTCGCTTCAAAGGCTAGCCTGTTTCTATGTGTGCTAGCGTGCTTTGTTGGTATTTTGGCTCAGCCACCTGCTCCGAAGAAGCAAACTCTGAGCTGCCCTCCACCGGGTGCAGAAAACGCAAAATTTACCCATTCTGCATGTACTATTGACCCCAACCGCAACACGAAAGGTGAGTCGGATTTCAACTTTGAAATTTCATGGGGTTTCTCCCAGAGCTGAATGAGTGTGTAATCCCTTATACAGCTAGTTTCCCTGGAGCTCCAAATCTGGATGGTGCTTTTAATTGTGGAGATAAGAACGTCAAAACTCCATTGTGTTGCGATACTGTGAGTCAAAAAAAAAGAACGAAATTTGTTCATCAATATCAAATGATAAAGCATTAATAAACTTACCAATTAAATCCAATAATCAATTCACAGATTGTTTCTCAATCCAAAGTAAAAGCCAACCGGGATTTACCACCTACAGACCCAAAAATGGGTCGCTGCACAACTAAAACAGCAATAGGTAAAAATCCAAATGCAGACCCAACAAACAGAAAGAATACATAGGGGGGAGGTACACACAAATGTACCTCATACTGGTGATCATTCATCATTTCAAGTGATCTTCTTTTCTAGGTCATACACTGGCCCAGTCTGTTTTTTTTTTCCCTTCTTTTTTCTTTCTAAAAATTGAAATCATCTGTTGTTTCTATTGATAATGGCTTTTGTGGCTTTTTTCCCCAGAACCTATAGAGAACCAATTGGACACTAATCCTATCTTGTCCCATCATCTATCAAGTACAATTAGAATATTGCATGTATCAGTATAATAAGTCTTCCAATTTCTTCACAATACCTAAATTGTTAATACTGTAGATATACATAAAGATTTTCTGAACTGTTCCCTTGCCATCTGAAATTTGAAGATATATTTTTTGTTGATATCTATTTTCATTTCATTTATGAAGCAAGCAACCCAGCTTGTTCTAAAAAATAATGGGGATGCTGAATGATTTCCAAATTAAGACTGAGTTCAACTTTTAGGATTTTATTGAATGTATTAACATCCAGCAAATTTCATGCACTAACAATTCCCTGTGAGAAATTATTTGAGTTTTGAAAAGGGTATCTGATTAAAATCCTTCTTGGGTATGTTTTTTGAATGCTTGAATCAAAGCTCAAACACATCACACCAGATATGATTGGATTCATACCAGAAAACTGCGTGAGATTTCAAAAAGATTGATCCTATAAAATCAAACTAGAGTTGGATGGTGATAACAGGATGGTTCACAATTGAATACAATCTTTTTGATTGTGGATAAAATTTCAGCTTGCTGGTTTCAAAAAAATTGAAAAATAGGCAGACAAGAGGTCTAATTTTAAGCCTTCAAACCCAACTTGCTCCGCTGCTTTCATGTAAAAAAATTGCCAAAGTCTTTCAAAGGTGAACTGTCATGATAGTGGGGTTCATGATTGAACTTAAGAGTCATCTTAACATGTTTATGAGCAACAGATTTTTTTTTTTTTTTTTTTTTTTTTTTTTTTTTTTGAATTTGAATTTGACTCTCAAGTTCAATCATAAGCTTCTAGGGGTTCATGATCAGAAACACCTTCAAAATGGCCTTAAAGTTAAATCATGAACCCCTCTAATATATCCAACATAGAGATGGTTGCAGGGTATCTGTTGCAGATACCCGCTATCCGCTGGCGGATGCCCAACAGAGCCAACAGATACCCGCCAGGGGATACGGATTTGGGTGTGAATGTCCCCGTTTCCTCAAAATCCCAGCGGTTATCCGGGTATCTCCAAGAATACCCATGGCCAAGAGGATGAGAGTGGCCGGCTGGAAGGGCTTCCTTCCAGCCAGCCAGGTACATGTACCTCACCTGCTAGAAGGAAACCCTTCCAGTTGGCAAGGTACATGTACCTCGTCGACCGGAAGGAAGCCCTTCCAGCTGGCAAGGTACATGTACTTTTCTGGCTGGAAGGAAAACCTTCCAATCAACATGTACCTTGTCAACTGGGAGGAAGGAAAACATTCCAGCCGGTGAGGTCGTGCCTTGTCAACCATTTAAAGGGCAGGTATCCGTGGATCTGAAAAAGGAAGGGGATATACGGATGCGGAGGAGCCATCTCTAATCCAACATATGGTGTATCAAGCCACACTGGGCACAGGCCAAAGTTTGGCCAAAATGAGGCCAAAAGTGCATGTGGCACCCTCCCAACTCCCGCTTGGCACATGCCAAAATGGGCAGGGGTTGGGCCAAAGCCTCCCTTGGCCAAGCCCAAGAAGGGGTGCCACACACACCAAAACCGGTGCTACTGGGGTCCCCCACCAACCAATGATCTTGTTCTTGCAAATGCAGCTGAGTCAGACTTCTGGAAAAAAGAAAAAGGAAAAAATAAGTAATTAAAAACAACAGTCCAAAATCCAGAGAAGTCAAATATACAAAGAGAAAGAAAAGAAAAGACTCACCTTCTTGTTGGTGTGTCTGATGAGGTGAGGAGGTGAGATCAGGTGTCAATGATCTGATCAGCAAAGCACTTGGGGTTGGCCCAGTGGGTATGTGCCAACTTGCCACAACCCTTACCCAGCTGATCAAGCCCCCTGGACACAATCCCAAGCCCTTGTGGTGCTTGGCCATGTAGGACTTGTGATTGTGCCCAGCTTGGCTTGATACACCATACCACCAACAAACAGGGCTATGGTTACACATTTTCTTATAGTGTTCACAATTGGTTTTTAAATAACATTCTACATAAGATCATAAGAACCTCACACAAGTTCTCAGAAAAGTTCCAAATAGAGAGATATCTGAATTTTCCTAAAATTGTTGTTTTGGTCATTGTAAGCCTATGATGTTGTATGAAAATCTCACCCCTCGAAAATCTTTTCAAAAATCCCATTTTGAACACCACATCTGGTGAGCACAATGTAGGTTTTCTTTCAAAAATGAGCCCTGGTCCCTTGCTACACAACACAATCTCTCAAATTCAATATCATTCACCTATAACAATTGGGAAAGCCTTCTGATTCTTTTGCTGGTACTCTGCCTCTTAATAACTAAAACCAATGGAAGAATCATAGCAAAGCTCATAGGAGCTCCAAGCATAACATCAAGATGGGAAGCAATTGGATGACTTCCCGTCGCAATCTATGACCCTCCCAGAAGTCAATTTACACCCCTCAGATCTATTCTTTTTCATCAAAAAAAACCATTTTTTCTGAAGCCTTCCAGAAACAGCTCTCATGTGAGCTGGTTGAAATCTTGATTGTGTTGTTAATTTAGGACTGAGGGAGGTCTAAAAAGCATTCTAAATCGCAACGGGAAGTCCTCCATTCACTGCAGGAAGTCCTAGGAGATCCACCTAAACATGTATCTTATATAGCAATTCCAGAGGAAGGAAACCCAAAGAGACCAAAAAAAAAAACATGACTGGCATTATTCAAAAACCTCACTTTTCAAATCCACCAATCTAATAACCAACATAACAACAACAGCAATCACAGCCAAATAGATGGTATTAAGTGGATATCACAACAGACATTGAAGAAAAAGAACAACCAAAGCAAATTAATGGGTGCAAGAAAGTGAAAAAAAAAGATACTCATTCATATATCACCAAACAAAACTTCTAAATAAAGAGGCAAAGAAAAAAAGAAGCTTGGCCAAACTTTTATAATAGATGCTTTGATCAAAATATGTAATTTTATTTTATTCTTCAGAGACAAACACAAGATCATAAGGAAATGAAAATGAAAACTCTCTCCAATTACATAATAATCTCTTTATGGTCAAGATTGGGGGGGGGGGGGGGGTTAATGTTTTATTTGAGTTTTTTTTTTTTTTTTTCCAACTAGATATGTAGGGTGAGAAATATATATATGTTGAACTTTTCTATTTATCTCTCTTCTTATTGAATGTTAGTTTTTTGTTTGGTGTTTGGGTGGAAGGAATTAGGGCAAACTAAAACAGTATAGAATTGATGAGGATGAGATTGATGAGGATGATGGACAAGAGAAAACCAGAGAAACTAAAAAGGAGGAACAAATAAATGGCAAGAGAGAAAAGAAGATCATAAAGGAGACCAAAAAAAAAAAGAAAAACAAAACAACTTATAAAAACAGTTTATTTGATGTAAACAGCCTTCTCTATACCAGTAGTTTTCCTAGACTTATCCAAATGATCAATCCCTAATAAATCCCCTTTCATCCATTTGTGATCAAAGATCACATCAGTGTCAAGGATGTAAGACGGTTTGGTGTAAGTGTTGAACTGAGCAATCGAGAACTTCATCTTGCTGATTTCTTTTTCAGATAGACCTAACCGAAGTCTTAGTCGTTCCTTGGTCTCCGTGAACACTTCCCCCTGTTGAGAGAAAGTAGACAACGAGTCTCAACAAATGCAGCTGATGACCTGATTTGTTAATCAAAAACTTACTGGTTTAATTAAAAACTTGAAAGGGATCCCATGGTTCCTTGTCAGTTCTTTTTGGAAATGATAGACATCAATGATTTTACCATCCTTCTCATCACAATGCGTCTGTTCGTCTTGATGGACTTCTTCCGCATAGATGTCCTCCACATCGGTCACATCTCTCAAGATCTCCCCCCCTGCGAACTGCTTTTGAATCCGGCCCTCATGAATAGTGAACAATTTGATTTTTCGGGTCGAGTTTTCTGAGAACTTGACCAGTGTTGAAAGCTTGTCCGCTACGTCGTGCATGGAAGAAGTCTTGGGCATCAAGAAGGAATGCTGTCCCTGGAGTAGGCAAAGTCAGAACAAGCGTCAATCAGCATCCGCAAGCAATATTGGAATGTGAACTGTCAAGTAGGATGAAACACAGAAAATTGAACATACCTCTTCCCGATTGTGAGCGCCAGTCCACGTTACTTTCACGTTCCGCTTGGTTTCGATCTCGACAATACTCATGTCCAACAATTCGTAAAATAAAACATTGCTCGGGGCATTGTTGTACGAAGACTGGATCATGTCGGCTACAGAACCCTGTGCGGTTGCACGACGAATGACGGTCTTGGGGTTGCCTTGGTGACTGTTAGTGAATCGAAGCTTCATAGGATCATGCTGTAATCTTTCTCCGACTCGACTGGCCATCTGATCATATGTAAACTTCTTGCTCAAAAGGAGATCAAACTCGACCGTCGTAGCCATGTCATCATAACGAGGTTTGAACTGAACCAGAACCCGATTAGTGAAAAAGTCGTAAAACGCCACCGGATCAAGATAAAGCCGTTGCTTCTCCAGCTCGGCAAGTCTGAAGTTCAAAGGGCACAAAGAGAATGGGGGTGAGTAAGATCGATCTCACTGCCCATGATCAGTTGATGGGACTCACTCTTTGTCGGAAAGTTCAATTTGAAAACAGATGATGTCTCCATCCTGTATTTCACTCTGCAGGAAACTCGCTTTGGGCTTCATCGGGTCAATCATCCCAGGCTTAATTTCCTGTGACGTAGAAGATCAAATTTGAAAGCAAGAGGGGACAATCAGATATGATAATTAGTTCGGGCGGTAAATCGCAAATAAAACTCAATGTGAAGACACGAACCTCATAAAGCTTTAGAGGCGTATTTTCGGGAAAGTTCATGCGGGCATTTATGAGCGGGATGACTTCTCCAACTTTTTGACTACGATGAACATAAAAGTGACCGATCCCAGCTAATGACTGATCTGAAACATCGAAGTACTTGACAAAGATCATCAGTTGTCCTTCCTTGGATTCCGCAGGCTGTGCCTCGTGTGCGGGGTCGAGGACTTCAAGATACAGCTTGAGATCTTGAGCTTTTGAGGCCATCTTGTCACGAACGACCTCCATTGCTAGAGAAAAAAAAAGTCAGAGGTTCAACAAATTGTATCTCGGGTCTGACGAAGATTCTGTTCAGTTTCACAAGACTAACTTAGTGTGGGATCATGCTCTGGCACGACAGTGTCTGGCCGAACTGTCTTGTTTTGGCGGTTGACCAATACCCAAAGACGTATTTGGTTAGGTTGGTAACCCAGGTCTTGAGCAAGTTTAGACTTGAAGTCGAGGAAAGGTTGCTGTTTGGCTACCCTAAAGGTCGGGAGGTCCGAGGGTGGCATCGTCCTATCATCAAACAGCGCTAGATCAAAACCTTGATGCAATCGGAAAGTTTCGTCTGTAATGATCTGCGAGATTGCACGCCGGAGGGTGACTGGTTAGTGATTTCCTGCTAGACGGCTACTCAATTGCTGAGACGGCTCTTCGGGCACACCTTTGTGGTAAGATAAAGGTGCATCTCTTCCTTCTCCCTTTTTTTCTTATCATGCTCTCTCTGTTCCCTTTCAAGTCGGGATTCTAAAACAGTGCGAATTGAGAAGGATCAGCAAGGTATTTTGCAAGTCTTAAAATGGTATCAATGACTTACTAAGGTGGGTAGGAGTGTCGACCTGTGTAATGGGCGCAAGGATGTCTGCAGCCGCAGATTCTCTGACGTACACCAACATGTAGGCATTGGTGAAGCGCTTCATGCCACCTTTACCACCCAAACCCTTACCCCCTCCATTCACCACGGCGCCATTGACAATCAGCTCGCCTCCGAAGTTGTCCTCCGAAACTTCGCGGTCTGTGACAGGGGTGACCCGGTCGTCGTCAAATTTATACCATTTTGACTCAGGGTGTGGTTTGATCAAGACGAAGTAATGTCCCCCGTGGACATCCCCTGAATGGACCAATACACCGTGCAGGCGGTAGTTCCAGTTGGCTGTTTTATCGGCTGATTCATCCAAGTAAGGTGCGAGATCAAGCTCGAATGGAAATTCATGTCGGTCGTTGATCTGAAGGCCAAATGGATTTTTGAATCCAAACGTTAGTTGGTCAATAGGATTCAAAAGAGGCAGACTTTAGACCCCACACACCTTGACCTGCATGTCTCTTTGGAAATCATACTCGAAACGTTTGAGATGAAGATGTAGCACCGGCGGAAATTCCATGAAGATGGTTCCTTTTCTGGCATCTTGAAGGCCATGGTCATCACCAGCGTGGTATTTGTTATCGCCATCCATCGTCTCAGGCGTTACGTAAGCTTCGAAAGATTCTTGCAGCGTTTTGAACGGCCGTCCTTGAAGATCTTTGATATCAAGTTGAACATCTGCAAGAGGTGGGTGACGCCAAAAATGACAAAATTTTTTAGTTTTTCTTTGTTAATGACTTCGGCTCAAGCGGAATGGGTTTTTAAATTAGATGAGAAAAACAACAAACCCAGAAAGGTTTCTTCTCGACTACTCTCGTAGTCAACGTTGATACACTTGAGGTATGTTTTGTATTTTCCAGCAAAAAGATATTGGATTGCACCGTCAGCGGGAGTGCCTTTCATTTTACTTTCCAATTTATCCTGTAGCACTCGAGAAAATTCTTGGACATCGTGCTGTAGAAACGCATCCAACGACTTCCATCCAAAGGATTTTGTCAATTCAGTTGTTCCAACAGATTGATCCGATGTTTGCAACTGATAAAAGACGCGTTGAAGAGCCAGGGGTACTGAATCTGGGCCATCGTGCTCAGTTGGAATTTGGTAAACAGCCTGTGAGGAAGATAAGATTAATCCAAGGGATGACATAACGAGATTCGCAAAACAATGAATAGATTAAGAGGTAAAGCTTCAAGAGCTGACTCACTTTGCGGAAGTAATTCGTTAGGAAGAGAGACTGTAAGAGAGAGTTCATGTAGCATGTGGCCCCTTGATTTTTCAACCCAACATAACCCGTTTCTTTTTTCGAGTCATAACTGCGTGTATTAAGAATTGAAGTGGAAAATTGAGATGTAGAGATCGATGCTAGTTAGTAAAACAGAATATGAATAAAATTAGTAGCATAGTTGGACAAACTTGACAAAGTTGTGCCATAGTACGCCTGTTTCATCTTTCAGAACTCGCACATATGCCGTGATGATCGTCTCATCATTTTCTATGATAGGCTTGACACGAGAATCGGCTGGAGTGAAGAGCTTCCGTAGTTCGACAAACCGAGTGAACCCCCAATCCTGTTCATCGTTGGTAAATCGATGTTGTGCCTCTGGGAAAACACAAGTTCAAACAGATTAGAAAGACTCCGTCTGCTGATTAATCACACGACAAGCAGAACTGAAATCCAAGATATGCTTACGAGACTGGATGTAACACGTGCCATCGTGTGGGTTAGAAATTGCGAGGGCAAACTGAGCGCAAACGTGCCAGCCTTCAGGCTGCTTCTTAGGATCTCCGTAATTCAGATAAATCGAAACCATGTCGTTGGCTTGTCCATTAGAATTTCCTTGAGGAAACAGGAGGATGTTCCTATAAAAAATTATCATATACATGCAGTTAGGATGGATGAAGCTATTATAAGACCAGGCCTCCATGAATGCGAATATGGAAATATGTTGTATTGCTCTTTGGAACCGCGCTCGAGGTTAGAATCCAGTGAGTCAAACTGAGATCATTGAGTGAGCCGGGGTAAAGGCCCCTGGAGGGCCAAAGGTGTGGAATATGAAGAACTGGATGCCTACCATTCATGACCACCGGCAGTAAACGTGTCACTTGTCACACGTTTTGGTAGTTTGCGATAGTTAGGTATCCTCCAACTGTGTTTCTTGAAATCTTCTACAGGAATTCCAAGATCGGACAAATGCTTGGCTGCAAAGGCTTCCGCTGCGGTTGATCGCCAAATACATCAATCAGTCTACACATTCATATTAACACCTAGGGAGAGAGAGTGGCGAACGATCATCAACCGAGACAGTCTCGAGTTCCAGCGGAGGTGAAGCCAATGAGTCAGGCACTATGTTTGAGGGACCTTCGAGGGGATCCTAAAAGCTCAGAAATATTGATGAGTGTGCACAAGGAAGAAAGGTTATAAATTAATATTTGATCCAAATGAATTGACTAGAAATAGATTAGACAGATGAGGCGCTTGATCATGGAATGCAATACGAGGAGAAAAGACGGACCATTGTGTTTGTTTAACTGTTTCTTCGCGGGGGGGGGGGATCAAAGAGGGAATTAAACGAGGGCCGACTCAGTCAAACCAGTCAAGATTCAGTACGCTGATCGTGTAGAAGAGTGATGTCCAGAATTGGTCGAGCTTGCCAGGCCAATCTACGGAAATTCAGACCGAATTATGTACGAAAGAAAACCTTGAACGCGAATATGAAGTTGGAGTTCTGTTTAGAGCAAAAACGTCCGCAACACGAAGGAAGTAGCTGGCTGGAAGATGTGATGATTCGATCGTTGGATGATCGATTGCTGAACGTGCGAGGAGATTGGATGTCGATGAATTGGATGAACTGTTTGGAAGCGATTGGAATCGATTAATCGGCCGATCGTTAGACGCACCACAGGTTGGAAAAACCGCACGATCGTGAGCAGGTGGGTAGGATAGACGCATGTTTGGGATTGAGAGACGGGAGCGGGTGAGAGTGGTTGAGATGGGTTTGATGGGGGTGTTGAATCGAGAGGGATCGATGAAGAGGTTGTTGAATGAAGAGAGAGAGAGAGAGAGAATGCCAAAGGAGTAAGTGCCAAGAGAATTATCAGGTGATGGTGTATATATGCATAAACCGAAGACTCACATTATCCACGGCAGACCAATGATGATGTCAAGGTGAGTGGTGGGGTTTTGAAAGATCAGGGGAGGCTTGCGGTGATGTCGATTGCTTTTCTTTTTATGTTTTCTAGTTTTTTATCTTTATGTTTTTTGGTTTCAGAGTTGGAGAGAAAGGATGACGAGGTTGAACTGGGAATCTTCCAGTTGAGTTTTTCGATCTCCTGTTGAGTCCTTTGTTTTTCTAATGTTCTCTGTTGTTCGTACCCAGGAGAGGCAGGGAAGGCAGAGGTAGTAGATTATAGAAGTAAGGACGGTGTGGTCCTCTTTTGTTGTTTTGAGATTTGGTCAAATCGAACCCAACCCAACCCGAACCGAGTGTCGATCGCTGGATCGATATCCGCCCGATGAAGAATAGTGGATGGATGGACTGTGGGCTGTCTTGTTTATCTATCAGCTAGTCTGTTGGATGGTTTGCTTCGAGGAGGAGCGAAGGAAGGTCAGGAAGGAAATGGGGAAGTTGATCGAGGGAGTAGGAGAAGGAGAAGAAGGAATCGGGATGACGGTCAACAGGACAGGGGAAGAGAAGTAGACCAACTGGAGTCTCCACACCGCCCTCCCCCGCGACCACGACTGGGCCCATTACATGAGACTACAGGCGCACCCACCACCTGTCAAATCTGTGTAAACCTTGAAAACGTGTCTCAACGTGCATAATCCTGATCATGATAATCAGGCAGAATCAGGCATTCATAACATACAATCTTCCATTGGTCTCCACATCGTATCATCAAAATTAAACGCGCTCAAGCTGATCCACGCCATGATCATCGATGATGATGGCGCACCTCTTTCAGGAAAAAGAAATCAGCACTACAGTGTCAGAGGGGTGGCCCAGGAGGATCATATGAGCAACTGGAGTCAAGGGGGTTGAGTTATACCATCGTATAACATAATTATCCTATCAATCCCATTCTTGAGCTATGGAGAGTTAATTTTTCTCTGAGTGGATATCAATGTGCTCAAATACATATGGCTACACCAGGAAAGCTATTATTTGTGTATGTGACACAAGGTCTTTGGTTCAGAATTTGATGAGCTGATTACAGAATAAGAACATACTTGCCTGGTCTTGCTGTTGTTTGAGGTACTAGTCAGATTGATTGTTATGTTGGATCCCTCCAAACATCTGCTTTATGTGGTCATGGAAAAAGGTGTTATATGCACCTTTTTTGAACACCCCAACGTATTTCTATTTGACTAATGGTATGGTAGGGGGATACCAGAGTCATTGAAAATGCTGCAAGATGGATATTTGATTTCAATGCTTTCTATCCTCCTGAAAAACATGTGGAAAAACAGTCAGAATTGGTTGACCAGAAGGATACAGGTTTGATAATAAGTGATTTTAAGAAAGTGATCCAAACTTGTTCAAATACCAGGGCGGTGTTTTCTTCATAGTAAAAACTATAATGCAATAAAACAATCATGTGGTTTTTTTGTGAGTATAAGATCATGTTTTTTGATTTTTAATGCATGGTGAAGTTCAATTCATGCTCAGGAGTCAGATGAATAAGTTTCATCACCCAGAAATCCCTTTAATTATTTTGGGAATCCAAGGAAGGATTTGTCAATTGGTTTTGTCTTATCAAAGTTTATTTCAAAGTATACTAGGTTGATTGTAGGACCTGTTCACATGAGCTATTAGGATTGAGTATCTTAATTTCATAGTTGATCAGGATGATATTGATGGCCGTGAAACTAAAGATGTAGCATATTCCGATCTAGACGCTGCCTTTGAAACTAGGCAGAAGGTATCTGTGGATAAAATGTTACCTGGTACAATAGAAGATTGAATAAATAGTGGATCATATTGTTTCTCTCGACATGCGGAAGCTATTTTGTTATGGTGTGTGGTCCTGGCGAAGTCAAGAGTAAAATCAAATGGTCCCAATAATACATTACATGGTATGATGAAAATTGATGATAGTCAAAAGGTTCTTTCAAGGAGCATTGAATCAACGGATTTTTAGAAGTGGGATATCAGGTCTCGAACTTGAATACTTGGAATCAATCAGCATGCGCTTGAATTGAAAAGGGCGAATTTACTGAAATTACTCACATGGGGAAGTTCGTCGCGATCACTGACTTTGCCGCTGGAACATGAGGGGGATTGGTGAGGAGGGTGTTTGGATTGGAAGAGCGTGAGGAGAGAATTAGGAAGAAGATTCAAATAGGATCTGACTAATTCAGATTGAAGGCCCGGTGAATTGTCGCAAGTCCCTCAGGTGTATACGACGAGCGAGGAGCTCCATTTTTCCGTTGCCCGCCATTAACTTGATTCCCTTGGAGGTGTATCGGTAGGACTGCGTGGCACTGGAGGTCATGATGGGGATTTGGGAAGCGAAAGCAATTGGAAGGGGCTCGTAGCATTTAGGTTTGCATGCATGTGCACCGAAGCCTAGAGGGTAGGTGGAGCTGCGTCCGGAATCAGCTAGTGGAGATGAAACTGGGGGGAGGTGGCGAGCCGCCATTGCCGGAATTCTTCAAGGATGGCGTGAAGGTGGCAGGCGCGTAAGTGGGCTGCTGGGTTGATGGATCGTGACAGTACCAGAGATTGTGGGCGAAATATTATATCCATCAGGCATTGCTAATGCTTGCAATGCTCATGCCACATCCTGGCTCAGTCTTCAAAAAAACAGGTTTTTGAAAATAAGCTTACAGGGGGGCGCTGCGGCTCACCCAGCCGGATTAAAACACGCGAGCCTAGCAGTGGTATCACCACCGGTTGCTTGTTTAGAATCATTGAATGTCACCAGGAGCCCTGGTAGTTAAATGCTCAACAAGACTCAGATTGTTGAGGTATTCTACACTTTACTCTAGCTCATAAACACCCTTTGTCCCTGCAGAATCGTGGTCAACCGTAATCACTTTGAATCCGCCTGAGACGATTTAGAATTGTGATCTTGTTTCGCAATAGATCTTGCCACAACAGCACCTTCTAAGATTGCGCTCACTTGTCACTGTCTAAACCCATAACATTCCCCTTAACGCTTATTTGTAGATTGTATGACTGAGTCTTAAGGTCGCTGAAGTAGAATATGATCTATGCAAGACCAACGTACATTTGTAATCATGGCAGTTAGAGTAAAAATTAGCGTCTGCTCCAGAAGGGCCATCTCTCCGCGGGAAGCTTGATAAGATTATAACTCAACGGCATTAATCCTGAGGCGTGGGCAACAACCGATTTTGGGTTGTTTTTTATTCGAGACAGTTCGAGACTAGTTTATCAGGTAATCTTCATGGTCAATTATCAAGTAGAGGATAGAAAGCATTCCATTGAACTGACCAGGGGATGTGACTTGAAAAAGAAAAGAAATCCTTCCGACCCTCAACTACTACACTGAACACCATTGGCGAAACTTTAATGTTGTTCATTTTTCTCTTCGGACTAATCATATTTGATTTTTGTTTGAATCACTAGCGAGCGCATGATCAATTCTCAGTTGAATTAATAGCTTAACGTAACTATATCCTGTTTTGATATATGATACATACGACTTTCTCAAATCCGCAAGCATCAAGAAACGCAAAGGCTCTTTGATCCTAGTGCGGAGACAACAGCAGATGAAGTTGAATTCTTCAATTTTCAATGATAATATTAATTCATGAGAAATGGAACAAAGAAGTTACATCGATCAAGTTGCTGCCTTTGAGACTAGGCACAAGGTGTCGGTGAAGAACATTTTACCCAATACAGTAGGTGAATGGTACAAAAAGTTTTTATTTTATGTGCCGATACATATAGAAGATTTATCGGAAAAGCAGGTATTTTTGTGGTTTAATTAATGGCGACTCTTAGAGTGAAAGTAAATGAAACTGATAATACAAAGACTACTAAATTTGGTAGGCCATTCAAGAGTGTTTTTTGGGGTTTGTGAGAAAAGGATCAAGAAGAAGATTTGTACGAAGGGAGGGATTCCGGAACCGATTCTATATAAAGGAGATGAGTGGAAAAAATGTTAGGTGATCATTGACCAAGATATGACTGGGAAAATTCATAACAAGCTCACAGGATTTCAGGTCGGGCGCGATAAACCCACGTCCCTTAGGCGAGTCCGACGAACAAGGAGGTCAAGCTTTGCATTGTCGGCCATCAACTCGATTCCATTGGGGGTCAAGCGGTAGGAGTGTTTTGCGCTGGAAGTCATCATGGGAATTGTAGCAGCAAAGGCAATAGGAAGGGGCTTGTAGCATTTGGGCTTGCAGGCATGGGCGCCAAAGCGAGCAGGTTGGGTGGGGGTGCGTCCGGAGTCAGCCAATGGAGATGAGACTGGGGGAAGGTGGGGAGCAGCCATGGTTGGAATCCTCTAGAGTAGTGCGAAAGAGGGGGAGAGGAGGTTGGACTTGTTGGTTGGGGGAATGTGGCGGTAGGCATCATTGGCGACCTTTTATATCAAGGCATTGCTGCTGATTGCTGAGCCAGCAGCAGCCAGCAGCATCACCCTAGCTCAGCGGTCGAAGTTTGGCTCCGCTTGCAGCGAAGCCTTTGTCAAAATAAAATCATAAAACTGTTGGTATGAAAGGGTATGAACCGCTGAGCAGGATTTAAAAGTGGATCGTGACCGTTTGTTTGTTCAGAATCCTGGAATGTAAATCAGGAGTTCTGGTGAATTGCTCAGCAACATCATTGAGTTTATAATGTATACCATTCGGCCTTTGAGTTCACCAACCGCCTTTGTGGCAATTGTGATGACCCATAGTAGATTCTTAAGCAACATTGACGCTGGAGATTGCACTCATTTTTCACTTGCTGAACTCATACATGACAGTCCTTTTACTGTCTGCTTGTCTGACTGAGTCTCTGGATTACTTGAGCCAAACTAGACTTATACTATTGTAGCGTACCTCAAGAATCAGTGAAACCACGATGCCAGATAATCATAGAGCCAACAGCTCCGGATCTCATGAAAGAAAGCTTGCCACGGGGAGCTTGATGGGATACAAACTCATAAGTCTAGCGTATGCGCGACAACCGGGGTCTCTTGTACTCTTGATTCTTGATCGGTTTAGTAGACGCATCCAACTGGTGATGAATAGTCATGTGTAAGACATCGTGAATTCCTTTGAACGAACCAGGTGATATGGCTTTCAGGAAAGAAGTATCAACCGCCACTGCGCACCCTTTACAGCTTAGCTGGGCAGATTAAAGTTGTTGTATGCACTGGTCCAACTGGTTCAACATCCAAATATTGCAGTCGACGTCCAATTCCTGCTTCAGCTACTGTCCCAAGATCGAAAATGAGAGCAAAACCAACAGAACCCGAGAAACACTAAGCGATGGCCATAAGAAGTTTCCACAGATGGCGTTGAGTAGGTTCCGCCTCCTTGTGCATAGATGTGGCAGTTTCTGTGTTTTTTTTTTGTCCGTTTTGTTTTGGGCTTTGGTGCCTAAGACATTGAGCCTTTTAGAGTTGGTCGTACAGCCTATAACTGGGTACAGCTGGGGGTCAAGCCCTGATAGTGAAAGACCTTCAAGTCACCCAAGTCACCATGATCAGTATCACAAACCCTTGGTCTTGATAAAGGATTTTTTTCCAATTTTGTCTCAGATTTTCTGATCAGTGACTCGCACCGAGCTGAAGCATAACTGATGACAGATGGTTTATATTTGATTTCCCAAAGTTGTTACTTGAACTAATGAATTCTAGCTTGTCAAATTCTTAAAAGACTTTGAGGGTTACGTTGACAACTTTTGAATCAAAGACAGTCAAATCTGGATCTCAGATCGCGGCATAAACTACGTCTCTGCCGCGAGGTTTTCCCCAGGGGCAAGTGAAGGGGACTAGGATTTCCTAGCACAAGACATGGCGACCAAGCTTGCTGGGATGAAGGCAAGCAAAGACCCGGGGATACGATCCCCAATTGGTCATCTAGCATATGGATGTGCAAGTCGAACCATAGGACGCTCTCCAGGTTATCTTGTTTAGTAACATGCAATGAAATAAACTGGGGAGCCGGAACGGCCTCGGGATTATTGAAGAAAAGAAAGAGTGGCAAACTTGATGCTTCGCCCTGCTTCGCCAGGTTCCGCCCCCGTCCGCGGTCCCCCGTCCGCGGTCCCCCGCCCGGCGCCGACTCGGGCAGCAGCTACGCCGCAGCCTGAGGAGGCTCAAGCTTAAACTTACACCCCCCTTGGGCGTCCACGGGAGAGCAGTCATTCCAGCGATCGACTGAGGCAAATCAACAAAAAACAAAACCAGAACGAAACCAACAAGGAAAGGGTAAGCAGCAGAGTTGGAACAAGTTTGGTGATTTGTACAACGTGAAAACAACGGCACTGACTTGATTTGAGCTCCTATCCTCCCTTGCAGTTAGCATGCATCTCCGATCTAATCCGTCCTCGCTGGCGTCTGCGTAATATTCATATTCCAAACACTCAAATATTTAACATAGGATATCCATATCCCATTCGACTAGACTGGCATCTGATTGTTTTTCGATAACCTAGCTTCAACCGACGACAGAGCTAGGTTGAAAGGAGAAGTCGCAATGGATAATGCACCCTCCTCGTCCAAGGACAACAGCGACCAAACCTTTTGGAATCAAGCCTTCTTCGATAATTCATTCCCATCCACCACCACCTCTCATCTCGATTCAAACCATCCCTTAATAGCTAACCAGACCACTATCACCAACGCACTCAGCTCTACCACAACCTACAATTCTAACCCACCTGCTCAGGACGATTTATTCGAGCTATGGTGCTGTTCGGACGAGCTCTGTCTACCGTTTGCCGATCAGAACGGGAAGATATGCAACCTCTCAAACTGCCCATCAACCTCTTCAAACTGTTTTGATAGCCATCTACCACCAGCAATTCATTTGCAACCAGCCCATGCAGGACCCAACCCATCATGTCCATCAAATATCAGTCCTACCAACACATTCAACAGCTGTCAAACCGGACAAGATCCTTGCTGTTCAGGAGCCACCTGCCAGCCAGACCTCTTGGATTGTGATTGCTGTCGAGCTGGCTGTCCTCCCTCCCCGATCTCCCACCAGCCGTGCACAGAGTGTGATCAGCCTGCCCCAAAATTACAACTACGGGCCTCTCCTAGTATCACTTCCACGACCACCAACCAATCGGGCTCGGGCTCCAGGCTACTCTCACCATCATTGGCTTCAAGTATCTCGCGTAACGATTTTGATGATTTCCCTGTATCATCTCAAGCCGGGAATATTGATTCACTTGAGGAGGATATTATTTGGATGAATCAAGATTTGGAGGAACTCGTACGTCATACTCTCTTCAAACCAAAAAATAACCAACATTTTCTCAAAAAAAAACTGACCACCACACTTCTCTTTTTGGCATTCTGTTTTGGCCACTTAGATCAAGTGTTGCTGCTGCGATGTGCCAACTCAGAGTGAAACTTTACCCAGCCATCATGCTGATGCTCATCCTGGCCATCATGTCAACTTTGATATGTTCGACAGACCTTCGATCACCTTTCCATACAAACCTAACCGTGAACACACTGAACCTGATTCTGCGATCCCATCCAACGTCAACATCTCCTGCAAGAAGGACACCATCACTACATTCAAATGCCAGTGGAAAGATTGCAATCTGGAATTCAGTGATAGGTTCAGGTTGACTGAGCATGTCAATGTCTGCCACCTGTTCCAATCCTCAATGGCACCCAACTCAGGTACTCAGTCAGAATCTCAGCAGACCCATCCTTCTTCTCGGATCGATTATCAACGTATCGTTCCATCTGATATCATTGCAGCACAATCCGAACAATCACGCTCGATGTCAACCCTTTCCTGGAAAGATTATCCTGATAGTTTCTTCGCCAATTGTGGACCATCCTCGGCTAGCAAGTCAACATTCCAGCACCCCTCGATAAACATTTCAAATGCTGAATCGCATGTTCCCAGTGGGACTCCACTCCTGGACCACTATCAGTCTTGTTTCGATTTACCAAGCCACCCAAATAATCCACTCGACAAGCCCGATTGCTCAACTACCCGTGCTAGCTGTGATGAGAATAACAACCAATCTACTCAAGATTCTTTTGTCGTTCCTCAAATCCCCACGGCAGGCTCCTCCATCGATCCACTGCTACTCAGATCCCAGCGCAGTCAAAATCCGTCACCGACTAAAACACTTGTCCTGCAAAGTGATATCCATGACCAGCATGTGTGCCGCTGGGGCTCATGCACCGGCAGAACATTTGATAACACGGCCGAGTTGACTGAGCACATATCGACCGATCATGTGGGATCAGGGAAATCAAAGTACAGTTGTCTCTGGGAGGGATGTTACTGTACCACAAAACCGAAATCTGTTAAGGGCCTTGACGGCGAACAGGAGAGCCATCAATCTGATGCTACCACAACAACAGAAGCAGTGAATCGTCCGAGCGACTCGGAAAATCCTCGCAAGTCATTCAACCAAAGACAGAAATTGATGAGACATCTTCAAACTCATACTGGTGATAAACCATTCGAATGCGAACGCTGTGGGAAAAAGTTTGGTGAAATGACGACGTTGGTTCAACATCGTCGAACGCATACAAACGAAAAGGTAAGGAAGGACCGCTTATCTCTTGATACGGCGCTTGCGTGAATGATTGAGATGTACCCAAAAGGCTGATGAAGAATGTTTGGTTGGTTCGATGGGAAACCAAAGCCATACAAATGTTTGGTGGAAGGATGTGGGAAGTCATTCGCATTGCAATCTGCATTGACGATCCACAATCGAACGCACACGGGCTCGAAGCCGTTCAAGTGTAGTGTCAAGGGATGTTCAGCCCAGTTCTCAGAATCCTCGAATCTCTCGAAACACATGAGGACCCATTCGCTGGTGAAGAAGTTTGAATGCACGATCTGTGGGAAACGTTTCACCCGATCTGACCAACTCACTCGACATCTCAAATCCGAATCCATCCATCTGCATTTGAACAACAACCCCACCAACCACAACGAGGATGATAATGATGATGAGGGGGAGGAGGAGGAAGATGATGATGATGACAAGGAGAATGGCCCTGAGGATGGCCTTAATGTCCAAGGAGCTGACCTCGATCACTCCACCGCGGTCCACAAAACACATCCTCAAGCCCCTCCCCAGGCCGCCTCATTTAGTCAGGACAAACGACCAGGCTCGGCCCATCCACTTGGCCATCAACCTAAGCGCCAAAAGAAACCAATTTCCGCCATCAATTGATCTTCCAGTATATCCCTCTCTCTCTCTCCTTTTCCTGACAAGTGGGCTATACAACAAGGAGAATCAATGTTTTGCACTTGTTATTTGTGTGTGGTACAAGATTGTTTCAAATATATACAAAACCCTTTAACAAACAGGCTTACAATTGTCCAAGATCTCTCTTTGGTTCTCTTGTTGGCTAGTCATCACAAAACTCAAGGAGAGAGAAAAAAAACATATTACAAAAAAGAGAGAGAAAAAAAAGACGATTGTCGATGTTTTCTATGGGGTGATTTTCAAGCTGTGTCTCGTTTTTTGTTGTTGTCTGTGTCGGTTTAATGATTCAAGTTTTCACCTCCCACGTTCGCTTCTGTATCTTATCTTCTGAGAAGACTACATGTCTCAGACCCTTGACTGGGCCATCTAGAATGGGTTTCTCAGACCCTTGACTGGGCCATCTAGAATGGGTTTTCAGTAACTTACATAGTCAGTTTTGTTTGCTCATGTCATAGTGTATTGTGGGTGCTCCGCAGGAGGTGTTGGAGATTACTCTTGCTTTATGAAGTTTGAATGGTCGTCGATATGCTTGAATGTTTCCTTGCATCTCTCTTGATGTGGAAGAATAAAAAAATGAGAATTTGTGTGTTCTTGTTGTTGGATGTTGCATTCAGCAGCCTGACTTGTAATACGTAGGCAGTGCTACTGGCTGATTTGCTTGTTTAAGATGAATGGATAGCTAGAGAGAGTTGGAGTTGGTTTAGAATGATTCAGTGGACTGATAAACCATGCTTCCAGCAGTTTATGATGTCTGTCTTTTTTTCAGCTCTTATGGAGACTCAGCTTTGATGATTTCTGGCTTGTAATTTTGAGATGGGCTATTTAGTATTAAGGAATTGAAATATCATGGAGATTTGCACTCATGATTAACTTGATTGGGCACCCATTTGACCTGCCTGTTGTTCTCTCTTCAAGGATCCTACCCTGTCCCACAAATCCACCAATCACAATTTCCTATTCAATTTTCAAATCTTTACTTGAACCCCAATTCATGATTAAATCAAAAAAAAAAAAGTGTGCAAGACCATTAAGCCAAAACAAAATTCTTTACTGGTCTTTATCTGTAAGAAGTTTGCTAATCGAGTTTCTAAAGCTACTGATAAAATGTAAGTTTCTGAGGTAAGCTTAAGGAATCAAATGGAGGTACGCATGGACTCAAGATTGTGATCTGCTCTCTCAAGAAATCCAATCACATTGCAAGTGGGTAGTTTCCTTCTTGTTCTGCTTAACAGCTTGGGGTTGCACTCACCAATCCATTTGGAGTTGTATGTAGTACAGGGTTCACTGTTTCTTGGGGGAGGCTGTAACGTTTATGGATTATTAGGGTTGTTGTTATTATCAACGGTTGCTATGATCAATTATGTATTATTCTTTGTAAGCATTTTATTTTATTAGGCTTACTTAGGTATTTTCGATTTATTGTGACTCCTGGACTTCAGCCGGAGTTTCTTATTAATTTAGGGTGTCACGATCGGAGTGGTAATTTGTTCTTACTAATCTCCGATGGGCTTATGTTTTGTACGATGTCTTCAGCTTAAGACATGGGTCTTCCTTGGAGGATCATTGTTGTGAAAAGGAATTGTGATGTCATGGTCTTCAATTATGACGTTCTTTGTTTTATTCACTTTGATGACGTTTCCTTTCATCGATTAGACTGATGTTGGTCTATCCTATTTAAGTCTTTTTGTTGTTCGTTTGATTTCCTGTTTTCCTTCTTTTCTCATCGTGATATTTTTGTTCTCAAGATTTTCAATTCGCAAGAAAAAGAAATACTATTCTTAGTTTAAAAAGAAAGAGGTCATCGGACCTATAGCGAGGCTCTTATCTACAAAGGTTCTGCTTTGGTAAGCTTTTCCTCTCGGAGAAGCTTCATTCCGCATAGCATACTTGAACCCTAGTACTTAGGACCTCACAGAGGCCTCGGCAGCCCTTAATGTTTTTTTTTTTTTTCCAGTTTGGAACAAGTTACACGATGTTTAATGCCTCTGTTTAGTTAAACACTTGCTCGATAGATACGAGCACTGGATCATAATCTCAGGGGCTGTGAAAGCATGGTCGCCGCCAAGGCTGGATTGTTGGGTTCGGTTGGTTGGTGGGTGAAGGAATGATTGAGAATTTAATTGTGAGCTCCGGCCCGAACTTATCGCAAGTCTCAGGCTGCGGGGGGCGCATCTGGCAGCGTAGCGCTGGCCAGGCGGTTCCCGAAGGGAACTCCCCGCAGGGGAGACTTGGGCCAGAGGTCGACAAACTCAGGTGCTGAGTTTCTGGTGTTTTGGTGGGAGCGTCACAAGATTTGAAATCATGACGCTCCCTCAAAACTTTTTTGATGTTTGGTCTCAAATTTTTCAAGACCTGCCTGATCTTGTTGATCAGGCCAAATTTCAAAATTTTAAAATCACAAAAGTAATCAATATTGATTTTCTAAAATCAACGTTTGAACTTTTTTTATGCTCACATAAGCAGCTTAATGAACTCGCGCACACCAAAAAAAACTCAACTTTTGTTGAAAAGTTGTCATTTTCAAAAATAACTATATCAAAATTGACAAAATTACAAAATAATGTGAGGAGAGGGAAACATTTACAAGAAGCAGGCCCTCCTTGGTCTACAAGGGAATTAGATAATAGTGGAAGAGGAAGAGCTTAGGTAGAAAAATGCACAAAAAACTGGCTTTTAAGCCCAAATTTGAAAACTCAGCACGCGGGGATTGCCGCATCTGTCTTAGGCCTCCACTGGCGTGGACAGCTCCGCTGCTCGCTCCCGCTCCCGCCGTGGAGGCCTAGTTAGGCTCGGCTCCGGCCTGGTTGGTTGGTTTGGTTTCAGGTTGTCGACGGTCGGTCGGTCGAAGACTGAATGCGGTGTTGCTTGCAGGGTCTTGGTTACTCCTTCGTGACAGTTTGGATGGGCTGTGACAGTTGAGAGAGTACTTAAAGAGCTGGATGAACTGTTCGAGTAAGCCAGCACTCACCAAAAAAAACCCAACCAACCAACCAAAAAACCCAGCATGATCAAACCACACCAGGAGAGAACCACCTCAACCTCATCAAACTCATCAAACTCATCAACCTCAACCGACCTACTCCAACTATCCTCATCAGCCAGCTCAACATCATCATCATCCTCATCATCCAGCTCATCATCATCATCCGAATCTCAACTCAAATCAATCACCTTCTCAACCGCCAGACTATTATCCTATAACCAAGCTCAACCAATCAACTCAGCTATCATTCCTAACTCACCCTCAGATAAACAACATCCTCAATCAACACCACCAGCACTCAACTACAACCAGAACTACTCACTCAGCCAACCACAACTATCAACCACCAGGCAACAACAACAACAACAACAACAACCAGCAGAATGCTCGACCAGCCAGCCACAAGACCCTCTCATAGGCACAACCATCATCTCTCCTAATCGAACCCATTACTACCTCAATCGGATCCTAGGTCAAGGCAGCTTCTCCAAAGTCATCCAAGCTCATCCACTCAACCAACCCAACCACTCAGTCGCACTCAAACTCATCCGAATCACAACTCCCACCAACTCAATCCCAAATAACACACCCCTGCAGCATCACCATCTCATCACTCAGGATCAAATGCCTACCGACGAAACCGAGAATATTCGAATGAGCACACTCAGAGAAATCGAAATCTTGAAGGTAAAATCTCAATTTCTAAACAAAAATCATCATCAAACGAGCCTGTAACTAACCACTCCTCCCATCCACACAGTCAATCGATCACCCCACCATCATCAAACTAATCGAAACCTTTACAATCACTAACGACTCTACCAACCTGATCAAGAAAAACTCATCATTACAGATCATCGTCCTAGAAGAACTTAGAGGAGGCGAACTCTTCGAGCTCGTTTCGAGATCCAAGTCGACCCTGAGACCGTTGATCATCTGTAGATTGATGGCCGAACTATGCATCTCGATACACTGGTTACATCAGCACGATATCGTGCACAGGGATCTTAAACTTGAAAGTCAGTCTTTTGGTGGAGTTTATTACACTGATAAGGCTAAGAAGAAGACGGGAAACTAAACAAAACAAAAAAAAACATCCTTCTCTTCGTCTTAGATATCCTACTAGTCAGAGAAATCAAAAACATCCAAGAAGAAGAAACAGAGATGCTGACGAACCCGAACGTCTACCTCAAAGTGACCGACTTTGGCTTATCGGTCAAACTGAGCAAGAGTGAGGATCCAAAGCACTCGACCGAGAGTGGGAAGAAGTTCTTACAGAGCAGATGTGGCTCCGAGGAGTATGCGGCCCCGGAGATCATCCTAGGCCGGGAGTACGATGGGACGAAGACGGACGGGTGGGCCTTGGGGGTGATTGGCTACAGCCTCGTCATGGGCTTCCTACCATTCAAACTCCCTCAACGCAAGGAACCCGGGGCGGAGGAAGACTCGCAACGGACCAGTCTGGCTCACTCCAACGAGCTCCCAGAGGACGATAGCGAACAGGCTTATCTCAAGAAACGTAAACAAGGCTTGCTCAAGATCATCAAATCCGAATACCGTTGGAAACCAAACCACTCCACCACCCATCATCATCACCATCAGCATCAGCAACCACATCACCATCCTACTCAGAACCAGATAGTCGCTGATGACCATCAACTGGTGCAAGGTCAGATCCAACTAGTCGATCGGCTCTTGGTCCGCGACCCTCTCAAACGATCCAACGATCTCCTCTATGGCTTCCGAGATCCGGCTTGGCTGGGTCAGTTTAACTGGCTGAAAGACTGCCTCCTCACTTCTTCTTCTTCTTAATCCTTTTAATCTGTTAATATCTTCTTGCAAACTTTATAATCTTTTCTCTTTATCTCTCTCTCTATCTCTCTATCTCTTTTTGTAAAGTGCCCATTCGATTTCCTTGGTTCCGTCTCTGTCTCCATTTTTTTCCCTTCTTCCCCTCTTAATAATGATCATTTTATTTTCCGAGATTTGTTGATTATCAATAATATGTCTTATCATCTTTACTATTTTCTTCTTCTTTTCTTTTTTAAAAAAGAGAAAGAGATCCATTTAAATAAATATTTAGAAAATCAAATAAAAAAAACATATGAAAGAATTTGTCTACTTAGTTCCTCTCCTCTATTTGTCACATGCATGTATAATACAGAACATCAATACACCTCATGTTGAGCTTGTTGTTCCTTCTAACTGCTTTCATATTTCTCTCTCTCTCTCTCTCTTTTGCTCAAGAAAAACCAGAAGCAATCAATAGAGAAATGGAATAGTGGATGTGTACCAAAAGAAACAAACAAAAAATGAGATTGATGGAGCTGGCAGTGGGGAGTAGTTCAAAAACCAGTATGTTCATAGATAGATGCAAGTTCACTCGGACCCTGCAGGCGACCACTTGGTAAACACACTCACATTCTAGTATTGATTGGGGCAAAAACACACTTTTGCTACACTTGCTCAAGATTGAGGTTTGGATACCAGTCACAAGGTAAGCTCGAATGAAACCCTGGCCAGTTCTGATTTCAATATTCTTGGGTTTCGGATGAGTTGTGTGATCTTTTTCTGCTGTTTTTTTTTCTTTCCTAAAACTAATAAGATTACCACCAAATATTGTCATTACAACTTCAAGGATGTTGATATGAAAATCAAAAACAAAAAAACTGAAAGTGTCTGAAATCTCTGCCCGGGGTTTTTTTTTTGATGTTTCTTTGGTATCATTTTTTGGGAAACACAGAAACATACAAACAAACAAGTTTGGGTTGTATACATTTTCCTTTTTTTGATGGGTCTGTTCAGCAGGCTTTCTCTCTAGTTGCGTCTTGTCCCTTAAGGGTGCACACCTCCATAGGTCTTATATTTCTGGGGCCACTCTTGAGTGAGCTCATCTCATCTCACCTCATTTTGATTCTGATCACTCATTCATTGTGATCCCAAATGTAATCCATTTGCACAAGAACACAAAAAAACAAAAAAGTCAAATGACTTGCGGTATTTAGTGCTGGTATGTCATGATTGGTATCTAAAAAAAATTTGGATTTATATCTTTCAAGTAAATCTTCCTTCCTAGCAGAATAATCAATTATTTGAGCCTTAAAATTGAAGAACTTTGATAATGAATTGATACCTCCCCTATTCCTACTTTTTTGTGAAGGATATCAGAAAGAACCCAATGATTTTCTAAAATAGCTGATCCCCACAGAACACCCCCTTACTTTAGCAACACTGAAACAGATACAGTATCTTCCATGTATCACCCCATGTCTTTGAAGCCCAATAATAAAACAATCTGACCAGTGTGGTTTTCATTGCAAGGAGATGCAGCAAATTTGGTTTTTGGCCATGCAGATTTGCAGAATTCCCCATGATACACACAGTGTATTGTATCTATTACAGTGTTGACTTGGGGTAGGAAGTTTACCTCTGATCCAGGTATCTATTTGAGAGTTGTATCTCCCAGAGGCCAAATATTGGCCAGCTATTTCCCACCCATCTTAAGATAGCTGGCTGGACTGGGCACCAAGACTGTTCACTATCCACACATTGATGGCCAGTTCTGTACAGTTCATAGGCCATCATGTTGCTTGTAAGCCCTTGATGGATGGTCCAACAGGCCATTGCAGTGTGCATACAACCTGGATGGCCCGCTGGAACAGTCATTGCAGTGTGCATACACCCTAAATGATTGGCTGAACCAGCCGTTGGAGGAGTTTGTGGGCACCCTTATCTAGCTATTCATTGGAGGAGGGTATATACACCACTTCAATTACCAGTCTTTCATTGTCAGTATACACCTTTGATGGCCAGAGGATTCTGAATACACCCTAGATGGCCATTCTCCTGGAGTCTGGACCAGCCATCAGATGATTTTGTGTACCCACATTCTGATTTCCATGAAGAGCTGTCAGAACAGTTGGGGTTTTGTCAAAAATTTGGAGTCTTTTCTCCTAACCTTGAGAGTTGTTCAACCGAGAGCCTATACATATGTATTCTTTAATGATAGAAGAATGCAAAGACACAATAGAGTGGAAATGTGCCAAAACAAAACTTTGGGAATGGAATCAATGGATGTTAATTGTTTCTTTTTTTAGATTAAAAGAGAGTGAAAGCATATGAGGAGTGACAGGACTATGACAATTCCAAATATTTTGGGGTTTGGTGAGGTGGAAACACTAAAGGAACTCTTTCCTCTCTATACTTGGTAATTTTCCCACATTTCAATATTTTTTTTCTTTCATCCTCACTCATAAGGAAAATTTTTTGAGGAGAACTTTTGGCAACAGAAATGATTTTTGTTGGAACGGCTCAGAGGGTTGTATACAAATGAGAGGAGAGAATTGATGATGTTTTACTTAGAAGAGACTAAG